TTAGAATACACTGTCACTAAAGCGGTAGCCAACAATACATCAGTTTTAACTGATAAAGCAGAGAGAGAAGTGGCTGTGTGAGAATCTGCAGTATTTTGTACTTCTAAAGGAGGTTTGAACGAACTGGTAGAAGGCGGAGTAGGTATGTGAGCGACACGACTGGAAGAACCTTGAGAATGTTTGGGAGCTTGAGGGTTGCGATCAATCGGGAAAGATTGCTTATTCGTGTTTCTAGAGGAAGAGACATTTTCAGAGGTACTATGCAAGAGCGAGTGATGTCTTTTCTTACATATACTACATGAGCGTGCAGAGTTGCAATCTTGAGAAAAATGTTTATTACCCAAACAATTCCAACAAAGTTTCTTACCTTTTACAAAATTAAATCTTTCCTGTAAAGAGAGACATTTAAAATCATTACATTGATAAATTTTATGCGAATTACTTTTGCAACATATACAACTAGTATCTGAAAAAGAGTTTGTTTGTGAGTTAACTGATGAAAACAAAGATGTTTTTAACTGAGGCTTAGTAAATTTTCTATCATTATCAGAAACGTTTAATTTTTCTTGGATATCACACTTTTTTTCAAGAAAACAAAAAAACTGTGAGAGAGTAGGTAAAGCCTTTGAACCTATTTCATATTCAAATGACCGGTGAGTAGCGAAATCTAATTTTTGTAAAAATACTTCGATTAACAATAAATCCCAATGTTCGATTGGTACTGACATATTCTTGAGTGCGAGTAACGTTTGTTTGCAAAGAGTTAAAAATTCTCTTAATGATTTTGAGTTACTTTTAGCTAAAGATGGAGCCTTTAACAATTTTTGAATATGTAAACTAATTACACGCGATTTATTTTCGTATCGATCCTTGAGCGTGTCCAAAGCGATCTGGAAATTTTCTTCTACTACTTCAATGTTTTCAATTAAGTGCAAAGGTTCATGTTTTAAGAAGGATTTAAGATATATAAATTTTTGCACATTGTTCAGCTCCACATTATTGATTATCAGCGTTTCAAATAGCTGATAAAACGCGTTCCATTCGGCAAAGTTTCCAGAAAAAACCTGCATTGTAATTTCCGGCAACCTAACCTTAGCAGTGGCTACAGTTGACGGAGTATCGTTTGAGCTGAGCGAGTGGGAGGGTAACTTTAATGCTTCCATCTTATGCTGCAGTCCAGCTAGTGTAGAAAAGTATTTTTTCTCCATGAGTGCTCTGTCTTCTGTTTCAGAATCGGTTTCATCGATTTCTTCAATTTGATCCATCACCTCTTCATACTTCAGATAACATGATTTCAATTCGGTGTGTCTGAGTTGAAACTGGAGACCGTCAGTTTCTGCATCTGCGTTTTCTAGTAGCCAGTTTACTATTCTAGTAATCTTGGCCTTCAGCGGCTTCCTCTTCTTCTTGAGATCTTCCATTTCGACTTTCAACAAAAAAGTGCTACTCCAAAAATAACTGCCTAAGGTCGTGCAAACACCGAGTTCTTTAGAGAAATTATTGTTTCTATTATATAACAATGCGTGTATCACACAGCGAGAATAGAGTGAGTAATGTTTATCGTATATAATAACATGTATAGCACACAACGAGAATAGAGTAAATAATGTTTATATTATGTAATAACATGTATAGCACACGGCGAGAATAGAGTCAATATTTATATCATATAATAACAGGTAGCACACGGCGAGAAAGTTTATTAAAACGCGGTAAAAGTCTTAAATCACACATGAGAGTTTATTTTTGCAATTAAATTTTTTGCACACCCGGTAAATGTCTACAAATGTCTACAGATAAATTTTTAAAGAGATAGTCTTTTTGAAAAGCGATTTACCCTGTGCATAAGCGAAGTTATAATATGGAAAAGTCTCACCCAATTTGTCCAGTGGTTTGCAGGAACAGGCACAAACACTATAAAACTTCACTACTGTCCTTTTGTTTCAGAGTTTATCGCGACACCTTAGTCTTTTCGAGAGTCTTTTAAATACATTTATCTAAATATCCGAAACTAGTTAGTACAAATGCCAACATCAAACACAAATCCGTCGAGTAAGGACCACAAACAATGATGGAGTTTTCTCCGATTTCCACCAATTGTTGTGGGGAAAGCTTATTAAATTCCTTTCCCCGTGCGTGTACAGTTCCAAATATTTTAGGACCATGGACTGTACAAGAGTGTTTCCTTCGATATATACAAGCAGAACTTCACGGCGCTGGTTCTTTATGTGTTTGATTTAATAGGGGTTGTACTTAGAGAAAAATAAGCGTAATTAATTGAATCTACACATTTAATAACAAGAGAATATTTACACAAGCACTAATACTAATGAAAGAGTTCGCTTTAAAACATTGTCCATTATTCTATCGGCGTTTAGGGGCGCGCGAGCTATCGCGAAAACAAATACACATTTCACTGCATTTTGGCGGCGAAGAGAGAGCTTAGGTACCGGCTACTAGTACCAAACAGCTTGAGACACTAGTCACATCTGCGAGAGATTTTGAATTGAATTTTTACCTAAAATTTCCGACAAGGCGGCGTCAGTTTTATCACTTTAAACAACCCTTATAAGCTATTTATGGCACAAATAGTTTGCAGGCAAAAAGTACAGTCTTTAACATAAATTCCAAACCAATATTTGTGAGAACTAAAAATTATACTAAAATTAATATAAAATGTTGTTTTTACAACAGATACCTTCAACAGCTCGCACGTGATGGTTTGCTACAGATTTTAATAGATTTAATCTAGTTAAGCCATTAGCTTTGACGTTTCTAATCTGTGGTTTACTGCTTTTTGGATTAAGTTTGTAGTTGTGAATATATCTTTACCGGGGCAATATAAAATTATGTCGTCAGCATATAAGTTGTACTTCACTGGGTTGTCAATATTCTTGCAAGTATCATTGATAGTTGTTATAAATAAAGTGGAATGTAGAACTGTTCTTTGGGGTACCCCGTTTTCCTGAATGCAGATTAAAGAAACTTTTCCGTTAACTAATACTTTGAAGCGGCGATTAGAGAGAAACTGCTCGATAAAAGATAATGTATTTCCCGTAACACTGTATTCTTTCAATTTGGCCAATACAGTAGAGCGTAATATAGTGTCGAAGGCGCTCTCGATCTCAAATGATGTCGCTATTAAATCTTGCGTGTTATGAAAGGCTGTTGTGATCTCTGTTTGTAACATTACTAAGTTGTCATGCTTTGGAATGGACGGAATCCAGATTGAGCTGAATCTAAAATTTTGTGGTTTTCTAGATACCACCACATTAGTCTTTTGTTTATTAGTTTTTCAAGCAGTCGACACAAGGTGCATGTTAGTGAAATAAGACGGTAAGAACTTGAATTATTCGGGGATTTGTCCTATTTCCTGATTGGTATAACGATAGATTCCCTCCATAATATTGGAAATTTCTGATTAGTCTATATTATGTTGTATAGTATAAGAAGTAGTTTTTTTAATGGCAGATATGGAAAGATTTTAGCTGTAGTGTAAACGAAGTGTTTAAGACAGTAGAGTTAAATTTGAGAGATTAAGAAGGAGGGTTTGTTTCTTTGAGTACATTCTTGTTTTAAAACCGTTGATAGGAATTTTCGGCTATTACATTAACGATTTCTTGATCATCGGTTACAAAATTACTTTTATGTAATAGAGCTGGAATACTTGTGTGTGAATTTTTTACCTTGTGTCTTGTCTTGTGTCACTGATAAGTGTTGGATTCTTTTTAAGCGACAAAAGAATCCGTCCCAACTCTATCTAGTCTATCTGTATAGTATAATTCTGAAGGTAATTCTTGTTTAATTGATATAATGATCATTCTCCCTCCTGATACTGACAAAGAATGTAGTGCGTAGAATCTTTTAAGTAATTTTAAACTGTTTGTCCTTGTTTTAGTGTAGTGTTTTGTACAATTTTATGTTATTATTCATGTTTTTCATATTCTATGCTTGCTGGATAGCTCATATTTGACGAAATGCCCTGAAGATGCTATTTTAAGCGAAAGTACTTGGACAAGATTTAATTAAACGTGTGCTCGATAATAGCCTTATTTGTCTAAGTTAATTCTTGTTTAAGCTTCTTTAATATTCTTGTGAACTTATTTTTTAGTGATCTGGTGGTTAGGTGTGGATAAATTCATACATGTCAGATAAAAGTGAATTGATGTTAGAAGTAATATGCTGGGCTTCTATTATGAGGTTACTACTTGACGGTGCCGTCTCAGGAAAAGCTATGAGATTATCTGATGGGGTAGAGAAGATTTGTGGATTGTTGGTGTAAAGATCCTTGATTATTTGCAGTGATGCATCTGATATTTTGGAATTACCTGTGGGATCCATTTTTCACTTCTTCACGCGTTTTCTGCTTTTTTCTATTAAGTCTTTAGGAGGAGGCATCAACGACGAGTTTTCAATTTGAGGATTAGACATAAGTTGGCTAAGAGAGTGGGAGTCAAGTGTGCCGAGTGAGCTTCTTTTTGTACGTGTATAGGTTCATCAGATAATTGTTTTAAGTTAGTACTTGATGAGGTTTTGATTGGTTTTGGTACAATTTGTACAACTTGCAGCTGTATGACTAGTTTGCTTACAAATTAAGCATTCCATTCTATCAGAAGAGAACATACGGTATGGTGTGGAATCAAATTCACTGACTAGTGAGGTGTGAAGCTCATAATTTTCAGTAGGTGGAATTATGTATACTTGCCTTCGAAATGGGCGAATATGGCTATATTCATCTCCTTGAATTCCAGCTTTTACGAAAAAGACGGAAGAAGCTAGTTATAAACTAAGGACATTCAAAGCATTTTCTACGAGATCGTTGGGAATTGGCTAATATATTTAATTTTACGACAAATTAACTAAAATCTCATGTCATATTTATTATTTTTTCTTTTTTGTTCGGTTTTTGTGAAATATTTCATAGTATTGTTTAAACCATTATTTTATGATGACCACTATAAAATATAGTATTTTACTATCTTCATAATTTTTACTTACAGGTAGTCATTCACCTCAGCCTCCTGCTCAACAAAAGCCAGTTGGAGAAATATTAGAACAAGCAATACACTTAACTCCAATATTTCTTATTCAACAACATAAACCAGAATTAGCACTAGAAAGGTAAAAACTATTTTACTAAAATTATTTATGGGAATTATTTTATTAATTATTAATTAATGCCATTGCTACATTAAGGTGCAAACTCAGTTTTTTCAATAAAGTTTTTCCATCACTTTTTATCCAGGACTCATCTTTATTTTTTTATCAAGATATCATTTAATTCGTAAAAATCTTGAATAGTTCATCAGTCAAGATTTAGGTTTTGAGTAAACCTAAACTTCGCGATATTAAACCCTATAAACGTTTACTTTCAACATCCAATGCACTGCGATGGTGTTTAAATTTAAGCATTAATCTTTATTAATGTTTAGAACAATTTGAATTTTCATAGGTTATAAAAAACCGTGTATACCAACACAAATATCCAATAGGTGTTTCTTTAGGCATTGTTCTTGCCGTGGTCGTCACATTTTATCAGTTATTTCTTCTTTATGTGCCGTCTTCTACCAAAAGTTGGCGACCATCAGACGATATGTATCTCTGCTTTGTATCAATCTCTATGTCAGGGCCCCACTTATTATTGACCTTCTATCTCAGATATTTGAATCGGAGTACTCTTTCAATATGTCCTGTTTTAATATGCAGGTCGATATTGTGGATGTTCTTCTTACTATTGTTTTGAAGCCATTTTCTTGTGGCATTTGAAAGTAATTACTATTTATATGGGAATAAGCCACAATTAAAAGTTAAAGTACGATTATTGATGTTTCAATTTCCACTTCGGAAATCGTTCTCAAAATATAAACATTAGTAAATTAAACAAATTTTGTTTTTTTTGTTACTTGGTGAAAAAATTCTTCTAATAATTTATAATAATAATAAATCTGTTAGCTCCGAACGTAATGAAATCAAATCAAAATATTGTACATAAAGACGTATCAACGATTTTATTTGTTTTTAAGGAAAATGTGTGTTTTTAAATGCCTTAAACTTGCATAGCTCAAGAAAGTCTAGGTCATCAAAATTCTTAAACCTATTTTCCGTTTGTTGGTATATTTGGTCTATTGATCTGAGTGGCCCAAAAATATTGAAAAGTGAGGTGATATAGATCAAACGAAAGATGGGAAATCAACAGGATGCGATGAAATACCAGTCGAATTTTTAAAAAATTTTAACGAGAACAACCTGAATGTAGTATTGGAACCATGGACGTATAAATAAATATTTTTACGTGGTCGTATAAATAAATATTTATACGTCCATGATTGGAACTGTTTAATAAGATATACGATACTGGTCAAATTCCATCGGACTGGTTGAAATCTACGTTTGTGTCCCTTCTCAAGAAATTGAATTCTAAGACGTGTAGTGAATATCGCCTTATAAGTTTAATGAGTCACACCCTTAAAGTATTCATGCGTATTATCCATTCCAGAATACGAGCAAAATTATAACACAGCATAAGTAAAACACAGTTCGGTTTTAGATGCGGTTTTGGAACACGAGAGGCCTTTTTTGCAATACAAGTCTTAATTCAAAAATGTCTGGATCAACAGAAAGATGTTTACGCCTGTTTTATCGACTATGAGAAAATATAGGATACTATCAAACATGACAAACTCATACAACTATTACAAACTCATAGAACATCCACGCATGTATAAACTCGCCTTAACATAAAACATAACACTATTTTTAATTTTTACAGAATATGCTTTACTTCATATGCCAGCTTTCTCAGGGGAATGACAGTTTTAAACTCACCATTTTTGTTACTACCTAGTTGAAATTGATAGATGGGAAGGGGAAGGGAAGGCCTTTGATAATGTTAGATGGGACAAACTATGGAACATATTGACGACAATGGGTGTACCTAAACACTTGACTCACCTTATTAGCAAACTGTATCAAGATAACCTGGCATATATTCGAATGGACGGATATCTGTCTGACAAATGCACTTTGGAGAAGGGAGTACGCCAAGGATGCGTTTTATCTCCCTTATTATTTAACATCTATTCGGAGTTCATAATGCGCAGAGTTTTGGATGGTTGGGAGGGAGGAGTAAACCTAGGTGGTGTTAAAATATCTAACTTGCGTTTCGCAGACGACACTACACTTCTAGCCTCTACTCCAGAAGAAATTACTAGATTATTAAAAAAACTCGAGGTAGAAAGTGCTAAATTTGGACTCATGGTTAACTACAACAAAACCAAAATCATGGTTATTGATCGCCAACAACAGTTTCCTGAAACTCAAACTATTGCGGGATGCGAGGTAGTCTCATCTATGATATATCTTGGAGCTCTAGTTAACAACACAGGCAGTTGTGAATCCGAAATTAGAAGACGCATTCAACTAGCAAGAGCAGCAATGAGTGAACTAAACGGGGTCTGGCGTGATCGTCACATTACTATGACAAACAAAAAGAGACTCGTTTCAACTCTGGTCTTTTCCATATTTTACTATGCATGCGAGACATGGACAGTCAAAGAATCAGATCGACGACGTATAGACGCCTTTGAAATGTGGACATGGAGACGCCTGCTTCGAATTCCATGGACGGCTCGCCGTACAAATATCTCGGTTCTGGATGAAATTAAACCGGATCAACGTCTCTCCAGTACCGTTTACTCTAGAATTTTAAAGTTCTTTGGCCATATCTATCGAAGTGATCACAAAATGGAGCGGTTGGTGGTCCAAGGAAGGCCTCAGACTCAACGCCAACGCGGAAGATCTCCACAGCGATGGGCGGACATTACTAAAAAGCTTCTCAATAAACAGTATACTGAGGCAATACATATAACTGATGACCGCGACCAGTGGAGAAATATTATCAATCAAACTGTCCGAGCTGCTGAAGCCCAATTATGAACCACAACACATCTACTAAGATGTTAATGACTGTGATGATGAGTTGAAATTATTAAAGAGTAATGTTGATCTCTTAATATAACTAAATGGTTGGTATATGTGAAATTAGTTTTCCCATCGACAAAAAGCTCATGTTCTGTTATCCGTTTTTTGAAACCTCTTCCTATTTGACCTATGTAAACATGGACATGTATCACAAGTGATCTTATAAGGTTTCCTCTCTAGATCTTTGCTCATATTTTTTATATTACGTCTATTTTATATCTGCAGAGCTTAAAAGCATGGAATGAAGCCGGTTGTCCGTTAACAATTAAATAAATCAAATAAAGGTTATTCGAAGTGGTTAAAGAATTTAAATATCTAGGAGCAACAATCACAAATGACAACAAATTAGAGCGAGAAGTTGAAACGAGAATAATGGCAGGAAGTAGATCTTTCTTTGCAATGCAACATCTGATGAAGTCGAAACTTCTTTCACGAGGTGCAAAGATCCGGATATATAAGACCATAATACGACCAACAATCGCGTATGTAAGCGAAACATGGACGATAACAAAAAGAGAAGTAAATAAATTGCCGGTATGGGAACGTAAAATTCTTCGAATGATATATGGCCCTTGCAGAGACAGCGTGACAAACGAATGGAGGGGCAGATACAATAACGAGCTAGAGTCTCTATTCGGAAAAGAAAATCTAGTCAGATATATAAAGGCCAATAGACTCAGATGGGCAGGACATGTGATACGCAGTAACGATAATCGCCTTATAAACAATGCGTTCTGGGAAAGGCCAGATGGAAGAAGGTCTGTAGGGCGGTCTAGAAAAAGGTGGAAAGATGCAGTCAGAGAAGATCTAGAGAAGATGGGAGTGCGACAATGGGAATTACTGGCACAGGACCGACAAACATGGAGGGCAATAGTAAACGCGGCAAAGACTCACGAAGAGTTGTAGCGCCATTGATGATGATGATGATGAAATAAAGGTTATTGTTACTGAGAAATTCCAGTTTTATGACAGAAATTGCTTCATAAATAATTTCCTCTATACATTGTAAATTTATTTTTATCCCGAGAAGAATATTCGGTGGCATCTGTGAAAATGGTGTTTGGATAAGGAGGTACAACTACGAGATATGATATGACAAGATGTAGTACCTCTTATAAAAATAGGAAGACTAAGATGGGCAGGACATCTGGCAAGATCACAGCAGAACAGCCCTCCTAGAAGAATCCTTATGTCAGAACCTGTGGGAAGTAGAAGTAGGGGTAGGCCAAAACTCAGATGGAGGGATGGTGTAGATGAGGATAGTAGAAAAATAGGCGCAGCAAACTGGCAACAGTTGGCAATGGTCAGTTGGATAGAACTGACTGGCGTAATAGACTTGAGAAGGTCGAGGCTCTTTTATAGGGCTGTAGCACCAATGATGATGATGACATTGTAAATTTTCGTGCCTTTAAATTATATTTCTTTTTCAAAGGCAGTTATTTTAACGACTAATCATTATCTTAGGGTGACCGCACACAGAAAGAGCAAAACTGTTTTAGTCAAAAACGTTTTTGTTTCCACAAGAAACATTTTGTTTTCAAGCTAAACAAAATGTTTGCACAAACCATACTGCAATCAGTTTTATTAAAGATTAAAGTTTTATTAAAGATGTCGACAGATAACGACGAAATTGCACTAGTTTTCTGGCAGTGGTTCCTTCTACAGGACGAAAAAACGCAAAATAAAAGACAATTTTAAGCGGTTTCAAGAAGGGAATTCCAAAAGCACGTTGCGCCTGCGTACATTGAAATGTTTTGACACAAAATGACGATCCGGTAATCAACATCAAACAGACTGGCTGAAACTAAATGAGCTTAAACATGCTTTAAGGTACGATTCCGAACACGACCGCAAACCGCAGACCGCAGCGACAGACCTACTGGTTCATATGGTTTCTTATGAGCTGTATGTTGAGTAGAGCGGCACTGTCCCCACCGCAAGCAGAACGTCGCCACCGCAGACCGCAGGACTGCATCAGAACCAGTAATATCGCCGACCGCAGAGTGACAACACGTATTTTTGCTGTTTCTGAATATATTTTCGTTAGCCATTAGATGATTTTTAATGAGTATTGAATAACTTCCTTCAAATTGTCTATTTTTAAATAGAGACCTATGTAGTTGGTTTCCTTTTTCTTTTATAATGCGAAAGTAAAAGATCGTCGTCATCTTTTTCTTCCATCAAAAGATATAACATTAATTCATCGTTGTTCATTGCGTCTGACATCCTACTTATACGACTTTTAATATTTTACCTTATGGTGGCCGCACACAGAAAGAGCAAAACTGTTTTAGTCAAAAACGTTTTTTTTTTTTTTCCACAAGAAACATTTTGTTTTCAAGAGAAACAAAATGTTTGCATAAACCATACTGCAATCAGTTTTATTAAAGATTTCGACAGATAACGACGAAATTACACTAGTGGTTCCTCCTAAAGGACGAAAAAACGCAAAATAAAAGACAATTTTGGGTGCATCCTATAAATGAGAAAAGAACTGCTAAAAAAACTCTCCAATCTTTGCTTCAACAATTAAAGGTCTTTTAATTGATAGTTATAAAGGAGGTCTGGCCTCAATCAGTACAATTAATTTTTTTGCATCCACATCCATGATACACACAATATAAACAGGCAAAATATCTCTGTTTCCACATATGCTTCTTGTTGACTACTCGAGCGGTTTCAAGAAGGGAATTTCAAAAACACGTTGCGCCTGGTTACAATGAAATGTTTCGACACAAAACGACGATCTGGTAATCAACATCAAACAGACTCACTGAAACTAAATGAGCCTAAACATGCTTTAGACACATGACTAATTAGTGTGCGTTAGCTCATTTAATTTATATGGAAAGATCAGCATCAGACTCGTTTAGTCAAAAACGATTTTGACTAAAACAGTTTTGCTCTTTCTGTGTGCGGCCACCCTAAGACACACGAGTAATCAGTGTGCGTCAGCTCATTTAATTTATATGTAAACATCAGCATCAGACTCGTTTAGTCAAAAACGTCTTTGACTAAAACAGTTTTGTTCTTTCTGTGTGCGGCCACCTTTATAGTGTTAAATTTCGTGTGCAAGACATATTTCTAAGCTAGAGACTAGAAATTAATATCCTAAGCTCTAATTAATATTCTAACCTCTAATTAATTTGACACATTCTAATTCTCACATCTATGATATGCGTTTAAATTTTATGAATCCACTGAAAATTTTATGTTTCTCCTAATCTAGCGGATGTGTATAACGAATACAAAATCATAATTCAGTACAGTATAAGAAGTCTGCGAACTAATTTTTATGGTAGTGAATCAGTTTTTGACGTAAAATTTGGATCTGCAATAACTAATGAGGGTTTCTATTTATTTCAGTTACCACCGCCCCCCGACCCTCTGGTACTTTTCCCATTATAGCACCATCTATCAACAGTTCTCAAAAATGACTCGAATATTTACTTATTTTTGCATGAGAAATTGAAATTTGTAACAAAAAATGACGGTTCTCATTTAGATGTTAAAGTGGACAGTTGATCGTGTTTAGTGTCATTCTATTCTTCTTCTTAACGTGCCCTATCAAGTCCCCTTGATGTTGGCGATTAACATGGCGAAACTGTCTCTGTCTCGAGCTATTCTAAAGAGTTGCTCAGCTTTCTTTATATCTGTCCACTCTCTGATATTCTTCAACCAAGAGGCCTGCTTTCTACCAATTCCTCTGCGTCCTTCGATTTTACCCATCATAATAAGTTGAAGAATATTATATCGGTCTCCCCTTACTACGTGCCCAAAATAGGCCATCTTTCTACATTTGATGTTATCAAGCAGCTCGCGAGCAGCATTTGCTCTCTCAAGTTCTGCCACATTTGTCAGCATAGCCGTCCATGGAATTTTTAGTATACGTCTGTGCAGCCACATTTCAAAGGCCTCCAGACGATTAATGGTGGATATTTTTAATGTCCATGCTTCGACACCGTATAAGAGAACTGACCAAATGTAGCATTTAACCATGCGCTTTCGAAGTTGAAGTTGCAAGTTATCATTACAGAAGAATGACCTCATTTTTAAAAAATGTCGTGCGGGCTATCTCGATTCTACATTTTATCTTTTGATCTGGATCTAGTTATTCAGTAATATGGCAACCAAGATATTTAAAACTGGACACTCTTTGAATTATATGACCATCAACATATAATCGTGCATCTTGATGTGCTAAACGGCTAAACACCATGTGTTTTGTTTTTGAACAGTTTATGTTTAGACCAAACTCTCTTCCCACTGTATCAATGGCATTTAAAAGGCATTGTAATCCATTCATGTCATCACTTAAAATAACTGTATCGTCTGCATATCTGATTGTATTTATCAGAATTCCATTAACTTTCACGCCCCATTCCAAATTATGCAGCGCTTCTTTAAATATTCTATCTGAATATAAATTAAATAACAGTGGGGATAGTATACAACCCTGTCTGACACCTCTTTGTATTTTACATATTTCTGTTGATTTTCCGTTTATGCAAGCTGTCGCTGTTTGACGCCAGTATAACTTTTCTACGAATCGTATGTCTTGACTATCAACTCCTTTATCTTTTAATATTGTAATTAATTTGTGATGCTGTACTCGATCAAAGGCCTTTTCATAGTCAATAAATACAGCAGCTATAGATTTTTGAAAAATATTGAACACGTTTTTATATTTTTCGATGTGATGTAAATTCCGCGAAGTATTCGACCGCCCCGCCCCTTTTGGCACATCCCATATGATGGTTTCATATGAATTAATTAGACACTATTATGTCAATCCAATCGCACAATTTACTTTTTTGCCACTAGTGCCTCCGTGCTACTTTAACTAAAAATTGTATTTAGATATATAAAGCATTGCTCCTTTTAAAATTTCATACGTCAAAATCAAACCATTGTTTTTAAATATCATATAAACCATAGGTTTATCCATTACCATAAGCAAACGCAGAAAAACGAGAAATTTTTCATTTTTAAAATTGCAGGTACAGAAATTCCCTATGCGCTGTAGAAGCTCATGGCGTTAATAATATTAGACTGAAATTTATGTGTCAAATGGCAGAATTGTTACTTCATGGTCTTGTAGGAGAGAAATATAAACCTCCTTCGAGTTCTCCTCCTAAGAGTTCTATATGGAAGCCTAAATTTTATGCATCTTTAAATCAAGTGAGTATATTATCTTTGATAGAAATCATTGTAATCTTTTGTTAGTTTTGATTGCTGTACTTCTATACTTAGATCAACTTTTGTTGTGGTTAAAATGTGAACTCACAGGATGTAGGTTTAAGATTACAACCTTCAACACTATTTAAAAGCGTAGAATAGTCTGTCTAGAATAGTTCAGTTCTTCAGTTGTATATTATAATGGTTTTTGTCAATAATTTATCGGATATTTTAATCGGTTTATCTTAAAAGATCTAAAACTAATATCTGACCGCTTATGGTGTCTATTTACTTTTTCAAAAAGAAATTAACCCACTCATGCCCAGAATTCCCTACTGATTTTTTTGTGTAAAATTTTAGTCACGGAACTTGTATGGTACGTTAAATGTAAAAAATGATACTCAAAATTTTTTCAGTATATAACTGATGGGATGGCAGCAATGTCACATTTAGCACAAACATAGGATGTACGATTCCCACAGATCTTAAAACGGCCATGCTTGGATGCGCCTTTCTCAATCATATGATCTTTTCGGAGTTCTTCAAGTACAGGTGAAAAATTCAATGACGTTTTGACTGCTGGTATTTTTGGAAGGGCACTAAATGATTTTTAAAGGTGCCTAAAGTTCAACAGTGATATGTCATAAACCAAGTCAACGTGGCTATCCCCAGACGGAAAAACTTGGAACGAAATATATTACATACTGTGTAACAAAACAGATAATATAGGACGTAACAGTAATAAATACGGCGTCAGTAAGTAGCGATGACCGAATGGTTAGAGCCAAATTAGAGGTAAAACATAGTAAAAATAGAAATAAATTTAAAAAAACTTGGAATATCGACACAGATAAACTAAAATCTAATACACAACAATATAAAAGCAAGTTAAAACCCGCGAAAGTATTACATCTGGATAAACTTAGCTTAAATGAAATGAATGAAGTTATAACAAAAGAACTATTAAATGCAAGCTCAGAAGTGGCAACCGCTAATAGAAAAATGAAAATCCAAAGTAAGTGTAGAATCACAAAACATGCTGAAACAAAGAAAAGATCTTCCGAGGAACTTAATCGAGTAATAAGAAAACAGATAAAAGAGGGCATTAAAAACGTCAAGAAAACCGTATAGAACAAGCCATAGAGAAAAACCGAAGTCTCAAATGCACCAAACCAAAACTAGGAAAGAAAATCATAATAACCATTAAAAATGAACAAGGACAATTAGAAAAAGAAAATCGGATATAGCAAACTCAATTGAAAAGTTCTACGCCGATCTGTATCGTTCCAGAAAACTGTTACCAATGAAATACGGGAAAGCTAGGGAAAGGCCTATTGTTACGAATAAAAATGGAGAGAGCTAAGATGGTGAAGCCAATATTAGAAATTATGTAAGATGTATGGTTAAATAGAATTTAAAATTAATTAATACTGATTTAAATAAAAAAGTTAAATAAAAGGGAATGTAACCAATATAAAAGAAAATATAAAATTTACTGGAAGCACTACAATAGAATAGGCTTAGCTCAAGCGAATGAGGGTTGTGCTCAGAGAGGAGGTTGGCACGTTTGCTTGCCTGTAGTAACTTAAGGTTAAATCAGATCAATCCTAAGATGACCTTGAGATGGGCGCCAGGGTGAATTTAGAATATCACTCCAATTTGGGATATATGTAATTATATACTAACTGAAAATAAAAGATGATAGGAAACAAATAAAAATCTGAAATGCTTTATACACTATATTATAATCCTACTGTGTTATCCTAATCCTATACTTATATACACTAAAAAATTAGTAAAATATATCCCCAAAAATAATATTTACAAAGATTACAGTACTAAAAATAGACCCAAAAAAATATATCTACAAAAGTTTGATCCAACAGTCCTCTAACAATGAGGAAAAAGGTAAGTTAATAATATTTAAATAACTCACATGGAGTAAATGGTAATTAAAAATATAAAATAATTAAATCCTTATCCAATTACAAAGGGCAGGTAAAAAAATCTGAGACTAGTCAGTTAAGACACTTACAATACATACATCAATTAGATATGTGAAATACATACAAATGACCATCCAATTGGATAATATATCCTGACAACCTATCAAGTGTTATGTAAAATATTAATAAATAAATAAATTTAAAGTAAATACAGAATAAAATTAAGCAAGTAAAAGGATTTAAAAAGAATTGAGGGTACTAACCAGATATTGTGCACAACGCTTTTCGTAAACCCACTTAGGCTGAAGGCCTAAGTGTCCAAGATATAAATATATATTATAAAGAAAAAAATTGAAATTTAGAATTATTCAGTTTTAACAAATAAAAATAAATGTCCTTAATAAGCCTTTTGATGGAAAGGTAGTTCCCTAATCCGCTGTCCTGGTAGTGGATGGCTATAGGATGCATCAGCCTATGGGTTTTTTTATAAGCCTCTAAGGACTAGTAGACCATCCAGAAAATAAAACCAAAAAAATTCTTCCCAAATTAAAGTATACTTCTTCCCAAATCCCAATATAATTTCCTCCAAATCAATGTGTCTTCTTCTCCAATAATAAAACTTAAATTAATTCCAAATCCCTGAGGTTGGACCGGCAGGCTACAAGAGAACAGAAAGCCTTTTTTATTTTAGGTTCTTGTAATTACAATAGTTTTTGTTTAAGTAACAAAAAACTAACATATATTTGCCATTAGGTGACCTTGGCTCAAATATTAAATGTTAGGTACTATACTGAAATATTATAATATGTATATAAAAAATGAGAATGATTGTGGGGTATTTCTAATAGTTGAGAAGAATTAGATGATTGAAACTGGCAAATTTAAATGAAAGATATTTGGACTTACCAGAACTTATTGGAAGTTTTATCTTTCATAAAACAAGGTGGTAACTTCTTAAAACGCACATACTAAACTAAATTCCTTTAAAACAATAACCAAAAATAAACTCTTCCCCTTTCCCAAGAACTAATAAAATAACTTAAAATTGATTCCTTCTTACTTCCAAGCTCTGCTTGCCGCAACTTTTCAACCTGTGTCCAGGAAGTTCTGTTCTAAAATGACCAGAATTCCCTTCAAAAAGGTTAGGTTTCAAATGACAATGGGAATCGATTTTATTGTAAATCGATATATAAAATGGTGTTATTGGTTGCCTAGTTTGCGGCGCAAATTAGTAGCTATGGTAGGTAACGATCGTATCGTTACAAAACGATCCCCTAACTCCTTAAAGCAGAACTTGAAAAATCAGGTAACAAATGTCAACTCAGAAGTGATGCCCGAAATAAGCCACGAAGAAATAGAAAGATCAGTAAAAGAAATAAATAGGAATAAAGCTCATTGAGGCGATGGAATCCTAGCAAAAATGCTGAAGGAAGGCGGAGAAGAAGCCATCACATATCTAAAAATACTATTTAATAAATGTTTATTCGAAGGCAACATACCCAAGCAATGGAATACTGATAAAACGATACTAATACACAAAAAGGGAGACACACAGACCTGAAAAATTATCGACCAATTTCACTTCTTTCACAACTCTATAAAACCTTTACAAAGATTATTACAAACAGGTTAACAATTAAATTTGACGGATATCAACCAGTAGAACAAGCCAGATTTAGAAAAGGGTACAGCACCTGTGACCATCTATATACTTTGAAAATCCTAATAGAAAAGACTAACGAATACAATTTCCCATTATGTCTGGCTTTTATAGATTATGAAAAAGCTTTTGATAGCGTAGAACTGTGAGCAGTAGAAGACGCATTAGTCAACAACCGGATCGACTCTAGGTACAGAATATTAATACATAATATTGACGAACAAGCTGAAATGATAGTGAAACAAGACCAATAAACATCAACCGAGGCGTAAGACAAGGAGACACAATATCTCCAAATTTACAGCTGCCGTAGAAGATATCTAGATATGGAATCTCTATTAACGGACGATACTTGAACCATCTTAGATACGCAGATGATGTAGTACTAATAGCCGACACGTGGAATGCACTGAATACGATTATTGAGGAGCTACACACAGAATTCCTAAAAAAGGACTGAAAATGAATTGCAGCAAAACTAAACTAATGTCAAACAAAGATACAATCTTATGATAAACATCCAAGGGACAGAGATAGAACACGTAGATGAATATACATATCTGAAATAACAGCTCGAAAAGTCAGATAGTTAAATTCTATCCTATAGAATCAACGAGTAGTATCGCCCGTGAGTTACGAGCTTTATGGAGTGGACACCCCTACTGCTGTTGTTGTGTTTCACATATCCGCTCTTATACACGCTAACCTAAATGATGTTAAATCTCCCACGCCTGTAGTGCCAAGACAAAGACGAAGACGCCCTAGGAAAAAACCTGCATCTTCTGCTGGCCCAGGGGGTAGACTGTAACCAACCGTATCCTCCATGACGGTGACGCCTATGGGGCGGGGGGTTATGAGGGATAAAATAGCCATCTGCATCTACCATATATCAAGGGTTAATGTGTTTATGTGATCCAAGAAGTGTTTGTTATCTGTGATAGACACACTTAGATAAAATACATAGGCGGTATTAGTTAAGTTAGTTTTAAGGAAAGAGTGTTTATAACCTTCAACAAAGAAACACACATATTTATCCATGTTTATTAATTTCTTGTAAAAAAAACTTAAATTTCCTCAGAAAAACTAAGTTCATGCCTCTTTTGCATACTTTTTTAATACGTGTTTAATTGCGGTTATCGAAACATTTCTAATTTTGACAATTGAGCTTGGTCACCCCTGCTTTAAGTGATTATCAAAACGATTAGTTCTATTTTTGTTTTAATAGTAACTAAAAAAACATAAAAAGAATAAAAACAATGAAAATAATTGATTATGTCGGAGTATTGATTGTAATTGGGTTTTATATGTATTTATAAAACAAAACTCCAGATATACATAATGTATATCTGTGGGTGATGGTCAAAACGAAAACAAATGAAAAAATAATGATCTATACACAATCGAATAATAGTTAAAACGAAAGCCCGTGCATTTTCTTCGTTGATTATAATTTGATTGTAGTTTTAAGACAAATTTATTGAGATATTCAGTGCAACACAGAACTAATTTAATTAGGTGATAAAGACAAGCGCTACTGAACGAGGACACAGGTTTATATAAAAAGTGATACAAGAAATAAGGTGAGATTACGTTTTCACTTCTTTCTGTCGTTTTTACTAAGATTTTTAATTAATTGACGAACATTCTTCAGTCAGGAAATTTGTCTTAGACCCGGAGTTTTACATTATATTGCTATTATAATAGTTATCATTTTGTAAGATATTAAATATTAACACACTTAAGAACTTGAGCACTAACTGCACTGCTGTGTGATCTTCTTATTCTTCTTGTATGTAGACATGACTCTTATGGAGACCATACACGTTAGGGTTTACATGATGGTTTTAACCTTGCATTCATAACCGACAGGCAAGCCCTAGCGTGAATGTGATAAAACTATACAGTTATCGGTGCATGTACATGCAACCGAGCAAATATGAAAATTCATATTTTATGCCGCTCGGTTTTGCTTGCCTGCGAGCATACCCTAGCGTGTGTGACGTCCAGCGAGCTTGCCTGCCATAGTTCTCATAGCATCACATGTTTCAGGCATTATTCGGCCTAAAGCCTGAGGTGATATAATAGCAGAATATTTGAGACACTTGTATGTTCTTCCTGTTGCAGTAAATCTTAATGTTACTGCTAGTCTCTCATGTGCTGATATTGCTTTCCTCATAACAGTCTCTTGTCCTTGTATTAACGGAGTAATCAATGATAATAGTTTCAAACTGTTGGTTTAAATCCCAATTCATTTATCAAATTTACGTGGGAAAAATGATTTTTTTTAATAACCGGCGTTTAGACCATTCAGTGCGATCTCTCTTTTTTTTCTGAAGAATAAGTGTTAAGCCTAGTACAGCTATCATATCGTTATCGTCCATTGTAGTTTGGTAGGTATATACTGCACAAAATACCGTAGACGTCCTGCACACACCGTCACGTAGCTTAACAGAAGACTTAATGGCAAAACTGTGCATGCAAACCCTAACGTGTATGTGTAATAAGGAACTCGGTTATACCTGTCGGTTATGCATGCAAGGTTAAAACCATCATGCAAACCCTAACGTGTATGGCCTCCATAATATTTATAACGAGACAAGTGCAAGACAAATCATTAGAATACAACAAAGCGACATGAAATGTTGAACTAATATATGTTTTAAAATTGTATGAAATATAGAATTTTATAGCTTTTTATGAGGTTATCTTATAATCTTTATCACGATAAAAATAACAAAAATATATCGTTTAATTTTGTTTGCAGTTTATTCCCAGAAATGAATGCGAAGAAACGATATTGCTACTTTTAGTTGCCGAATCTATGGCAGTTAGAAATGCAGTATTGTCGCAATCACCGGAATTTAGAGATATACGATTAAGCGCCTATCAGGATGCTGTAACAGTATACGATTTACTAACAGTAGCTACAGTTCGTTGGGGACAAATTGATCTTTTACAAGAGGTACGTATATTTTGAATGTTTATTTTTCAATCTCTTAATCTCTTCTTAAACAAACAACAAAGTTTATTAGGGCTGCAGTCATAAGTTTGGCCGGGATGTTACAGAAACACTCTTTTGACTTTTGGTCTAGCTTTCGAAATTGTATAATTCCTTTTTCAAGACACTGTAATTAGAATTAGAAAAATGTGTAAATACTTACAATATATCACAAAATGTTAGTAAGTTGCACTGACTTAGATATTAGACAAACATTGGACAAATTTTAGAAAAAGCCAGGGAATTCAACATACCAACCTATGCTATATTGACTGCATCAAAGCAATTGAATATCGATAGTAGAAGAAATGTGTATACCTCATCATTTGATCTATCTATTAAAAATGTGTTACGACAATAATAGCGGCAAAGTCAAGGTGAAAAGTGAACTTACTGGGTGTTTTTCTGTCAACAAGGGTGTGTGACAGGGGTGCGTACTGAGCCTTATACTCTTTAACATATACGGCGAGTATATTATGAGACATGCTTTAGAGAACTGGGAAGGGAGAATCACTATCAATGGCGCCTTCATCGCTGCATATTAAGACGAATTAGAAAAACTTATTGAATAAGTATAAGAAAAACGTCTGGAAGTAGGTCTATAGATTTTCAAACAGAAAACTCAAATAATGATAGTAGACCGACAGAACTCAAATAATTTAAATATAAAGAAAATCTATATTGAAATGATTAACACTTTCACTCAGCTTTTAATCAACTTGATTCCATAATCGATTGAACTTTATCCAGCATTGTAAATAATATAAAGCCGTTTGAATTAAGAATTGGCCATAATGTCGTTTTGTAAAAACTTTTAATAATTTTTGGACCAGAATGCTGCCTGATAGAAAACTGACTAGTTTTAATGCCAGTAATGTAACTACGACAATTAGACAAAAATCAATAAAACGATAGATAGAGAGCAGTGTGAAACAATCCTATACACCGATGACGAGAAGGATAAAAACGATACAAGGTGCTCAGTTACTTCAATAGGCCAAACAATAACGACCTTTCGTTTTCCAACAATCTGCATTATACATACAAGGGAATTATATAGAATATTCTGGAAGATAGACCAGAAAGCAACAAACACATTGCCAGGTGCACCGACTTCCTGTCACCGATACGTTTATTAAGATATCTCCCCATATTCCTCTACAAAAACTGAGGGACAAAACAATAATCAGGATAATCAAAGTAGATTACACTCGACTCACGCATGGTTACCTTATGACCTGTGATAACCCACCAGTTTATGAATACAGTATCAACTCCGCCTTTGCATGCAGCCACAGCCACCTTTACTTCCAAGCCATGAAGTAAAAAAGGCAACACCGCATTCTATGACGTCGGTAGTCCGATAATCAGCTGTAAGGTCTACCAGAAAATTAAACTAATGAAAACTTCAATTCATTACAGAAATATTTTTAGGGAAATTAAATTAATAAAACCTTATATTATTTCCCTAATAAATATATATATATATATATATAATATATATATATATATATATATAAAGTTTTATTATTATTTAGGTTATATTATCAATAAAATAATCACTAGAGTAAAACTTATTGCACTTAAAATACAGTGTCAAACAGTTAATCTTACAATCAAATGCAGTCAAGAATCTCTAGAAATTTTAAATATTAAGTACTTAAGCATATAAATAACACAATACATTAACACGACATTTAAAAAGATTATTAAAAATACAAAAGATATAAAATTTGTTAAGTAAAAACTTAGTGTAACTATTATGATTAAAAAAATTCATCCTAAGAAATCAGACACACTATAAATAATCGATACATTTTTGGCAAAGTAACGTAAGTGACATTTTTGGCGAAAATCATGTTTTTCAATTAAACTAACACTATTATTGTTAAAAAGGTACTGCCAAAGTGTAGTAAGCGTAGAATTACTTTAAACCTTTTTTAGAACAAGTAGAAACAAGTTTTTTCAGTCATAAATTTAATAATTTTAACCAGGTTGAATTACAAAATTGTTTTTTCTGCAAATCGTGTTTGGTGACTTACGTTACTTTGCCAAAAATGTATCGATATGGTTCAAAATTAATCTAATTGAAAATTAAATATTTTACTATTTACTTAAACTTTTGTTGAATTTTCATACTTAGGCATACGAAAGTAGTAATTTTAAATATGAATAGGTTTTTTGTCATATAGACCAAGTTAAGAGAGGTATACATGAAAAATGTGTTGAATGTAACATACCATTTATAACTTGTATATCGATTTAAAATAGCCTATATTCTCAAAAGATTTTTGAATGTAATACTCAAATTTGTTATCACTTATCTAAAAAGCAGATCTAAATGAGAAAGTAAGTTCTCTAATTGTGACCATCTTGTTAATTTACTATATTGTAAAATCCATTTCAAATCATTACTACTTAATCTATTCTTACCTACATTGACGATTACACTAAAATTACTGCTAACTATTACACTACGTATTACACAAATATTATCACACTTGTGTCCCAACTGATTAATGTTTAATACATAGAAATATACACAGTCACTTGTAATTTTACTTGTCCAGTTTTTCAATGGGATATTATTGTCTAAGTCTAATTGTCATAATTATGTTATCTCTTGTTCCCTCTTCTTATGCAAAAAGTTTCTTCTGTCTTCGGGATTCCTTCTTTCTTTAGTACGATGAACAGTTACATATGATGGTACTTCAGGAAATATATTAGGAACTGCATTGCCTTTTAATTTGGGAAATATTAACTTTTCAATGTGTACATTTCCATCTTTATCTTCTCATTGTTCAGTCCGCTGAATATCATCTTCATGCAAATGTTTGGCACATACTACGGAAGATTTGGTAATTGTATAGCCTTCTCTATGAATAGAGCATAACCCAGTATACCTTCTTTGGGGATCTTTGGGAAACGAAAACGTACTTTCTGCCTGTTTCGTTTTTAAAGTACTGGCATAATTGGTTTTGCAACCAGGTACACAACAATGCCAGAGCATCTGTAACAAAAAACAAAAGTATTATTATTGTTTATTTTAGTTTACATATTTTGTAACAAGAAGCAAAAGTATTATTATTTTCAGTTTGTTTTGTAGGTTATATTTATACTTGCCTTTTAAATTGTCGTTAAGAATCTTCTAAAAGTTCTAAATTTAATGAAATTTCACTTATATTAATATTTTCTAATTGATTTAAACACAATTTACAAATAAAACATTCGAATAAAGTTTAAAAAAACACTAAATTCAACAAACTTTACAAGCCTTCCCTATATGAAATGTTAAACAAAACAAACCACGGTCGGACTACCACGCGTTGTTGCCAAATTTCTACTTCATGGCTTGGAAGTAAAGTAGGCTGTGATGCAGCACGTGAGCATAATATTAGTGGTATCAGAACGCCTTTTGAATTTAGCCAATAGTAGCTAGTACACGCCACGAATTAGCTAACATTTTACTTGACAAGGAAACGCACTATATTAGAACGCTACGAGCAAATGGTCGTAAAAACCCAAAAGAAGTAGTAAATAAAAAATTTAAAAAGAAGAAACGTTCATTTTGGAAAACGAGAGAGGCAACTGCGTTTTGAAGTGAATAGATAAAAGAGATGCCTTGTTACTTTCGATTAAACACACTACCGAAACTTGGGCAATTAAACGACGAAGTGGTGTTGTTCATAAACCTCAGGCTGTAATGGAATACAATGAGGCAAAGTCCTCAATTGACCAGTCAGACCAAATAGCCAATTACAATTTACCCATAAGAAAATCACTCAAATGGTACAGGAAGCTCGCTGTAAAATTTCTCACATCAGTCGTAAATTCTCACATTGTTTTCAAACAATTAGCTGATAAAAATATGAAAATAACTGAATTTAGAGAGCATGTAATAAAGTTGCTTCTAAATTATGAAGAGAACATTGAGCAACAGATTGATTCTGAAGGGGAACAACAAAAATACTAACAATAAGTACATTGATGCTAATTTATACTTTCTAAAAATCCAGCGGTTTTGAAGCATATTGTAAATGCCTCACATTTGTTGCCAAAACTCAAAACTAAAATTTCATGCTATAGTTTTGAAGGTTATTCTAGTAATCGAAACTTCATAGTGGCCAGTTAATGAAAGGGATAGATTGTATTGATCTAGCGTTATTGATTTGAAGCATAACACAAAAATTGCATACGAAAGCAGAATTCTTTACCTTTTAAAACGCATCTTGATTTTTGTGGATGGGACACTTGAATCAAAAGATATCGAATTTTTATCGTCGAGCTGATACAAATTTTATTGAACATTGATTTCGCGCCCTACGAGGGTGGTTTTAGGGGGAAGCCCGGGGGTAAAAGTGATAAACTTTTGTGCATCTTTTTTGGGATCCAAACATTAATATTCTTTGCAAAATTCAGCGTTGTTCGTATGATTTTTAGAGGTTCAGCGGCATTTTCTGCCGGGAATATTTGTTTAGATTATATTAAAAAACATTCCAAATAACTGATAATTTTGAATTCGTTCATGTTTTTATTTTAACTTTTTGTATGTTATTTAGTTTGGAATGAATATTATATTTCTTACTCAAAATAAAAAAATACTTGTCAAAATTTTGATTATTATTTCAGTCTCCCGTATTTTTCCAAAACGAAAACTGTTATATATTCTTCTTCTTCTTCTTCTTTACACAACTTCTGGCCAAAACAGGAAGTATATCACAGACCGTATCAAATCGGTCGTATCGCCGTGGCATGACTTACTTATTGAACTGTCAGTCGTATACGATCGCTTGGCAGTCAACCTGTTAAAGTTGTAAATTTCCACTAAAAATAGTAAATAACGTTACATAATAATCTTAAAAGTCACCACGCAGGATATTTACTGTTATTTAACATGTTTATAACTATCCGCGAAATCGTTTTCTAGTTGAATATCAATGAAACAACTTTTAAATGTAAAATTTATTAACTTAAATTATTTTTCAGTCGCTAGAACGTTCGATGAAATTTTCATTTGATGAAGCTCATATGTGGAAACAGTACGCATTAAGTCTTTTATCAATCAATAGCTTTGATCACGCGTTATCAGTGCTAAAGGAAGCCATTAGATTAGAGCCAAGTGATGCCAGCATCTGTCTTTTAGCTGCCAAATTATGTTACGAACATCTTAATTTAATTGTTGAAGGTATGTATCAATAAAATATTAATATAAGTAATGGATTCGACGGTTACTTGATGGAAATTCATATAACAATAAAATACTGAACACATTTGTTTTCACCACTTCCACAAAATTTATTATAATATCTTATCACTACAGCTGTTTGGGCAGAGTGTCTTTCTCAAGTGATCTATTTTTGGTATGTGTTTACACTTTAGTAATCATTATTTTTATTATTATTATCATTAAAAGAATGATTATGGTCTAGAAGGTGAAGTGCATACGTAGAATCTGTTTTTCTGTCATTCAAACCTTTTTTATGTTCTGCTATACGTTTGTTAAAAGTTCTACCAGTTTGACTGATATAAGTTTTTTGATAGTCGCCACATTTTTTTTGTATACACCACTGTGTAAGTGCTTTCTTTTGGTTCTTGTTGTTTTTAATATATTTTCCTAAGGGGTTGCTTGTTCTAAAAGCTAGTGTTATTCCTTTCTTTTTTATGTGTTAGGCTATTTTTGTTGATATCTTGCCTGTATATGCAATCGAGCAGAAGGTACTGGGTTTTTTCTCTGGTGGTGGAAATACTAATTTCAGGGCTTTCTTACGTAGTTTTTGTTTTAAAATTTTTATACAGCTTCGTCATATAAACTTTTAAAAAACTGTTAGAGATTATTCTAAAACACACTAAATGTTTCACCTAAATTTACCGTAAAAAATACAAAGAACTAGTTAATAAAATACAATTTCAATCAACATTTTCAATTATCTAACAACTCCAGATTAATTTCATTTGACGTAAAAAATCATTTTACATACTAGTATTCCTCCTACAGATACTTTTGTTCAAGTAAAAAACCTTTTAGACCATCATATTAAAAATCCTATCATTACATCTGAAATTTTACATTTTCTTGAAATTTGCATAAACCAGGACTACTTTGAATTTAATAATCAAATATATACAAACAACAGTGCAGGGATTATAATGGTTAATCCTCTAAGCACATTGAACAGATTCGATTATAGTTATAAGGATCGAATTGTTTTGTAATGCCCCTTTGTCCAATTCTTCTCGATCGACGATGGTAATACAATAAAATAAAGTCGTGGAGTAAAAATTATAATTTTATTGACAGCTACTAATAATTACAGTTTAGTTGTTGGTTAGGAAACTATCTATAATAAACAGCGCTCAAATGAGCTCAAATCCCCAATTTATAATTTTACAAATAATGTATACCTCAGCACAGAGGTTAATGCTTCTATCATACTAACAAACTTTGAACTATGAGCTTACAATACAATTTAATCTAGGCCGTTATTGCAACACTTAGGAAGTTTAATTTGAAAAATATTATTTGCAATTGATTAAGTTGCAGATATATAGGTGAACGGACTCAAATTATTAAAATATTACTCGATATGTTTTCACAATGTTTCAGTTATACACGGTGAAACTATAAAAGGTTAAGAAGTTAAGAATAATGTGAGATTATAAATTAAGGAATTTATTTGTGATTGAACATATTGGCCACTATATAAAAGAAACAGACGACCAATAGAAAATATCTAAACACATATAAAATATAAAATAATAATAATATAACAATGATCATATCACTAATTCACTCGGTTTTTGAATTATTATCTCATCCGAGCAGTGGTACCTATAAGAATATTTACAATTTATGTTTCTGCTAAACTGTCTAGTTCAAATCTAAGATCATTAAGTGAAACTAATCTAGGAGGGGCTTTCTCTAAAGTTTTACATAAATTTGGTTGTGATACCGTACGTCTTCGAGGCGCTGGATGAGGTTGAATGCAAGATACCACTAGTCCCGTGGTTAATTCTTGCATGGAATTCATGCATGCCTCCACACGGTGAAAGTGAAGTTAAGAATAATGCGAGATTACAAATTAAGTGGATTGAACACCATTTCTATCAGATATTTTTATGGTTCATCTAGAAACAAAGATTTCAAAATATCCCGTATACAAACAGTTTTTATATTGGTGGAGATAAGTAGACGATGTACTGGTATGCTTTACAGGAATTAACAGGCAACTTGACCAATTTTTATCGTATAATAATTCACCTTACAGTCATATTGTATCCACTATAATCCACAATATAGATGTATTGTACAATCAATCCATAAATGTTCTAGATTTAAAAATAATGAGACTTAAAAACAAACATGAGTTCTCCGTATTTCAGAAACCTACCCATACTGACACGACTGTATACAACTTCCCATCCTATCTATCCCATCCTACACAACATAAATTGGCAGCCTACCATAGCATGCCACAGCCTACCATAGATTAATAGAAATTCTGACATAGCAAACACAGAAAAAAGAAAGGAATAACACCAGCTTTTAGAACAACAACACCTTAGGCAAATATATTAAAAACAAGAACCAAAAGAAAAAGCACTTACACAGTGGTGTATACAAACTAAAATGTGACGACTGCCCAAAAACTTACATCGGTAAAACCGGTAGAACTTTTAACAAACGTATAGCAGAACATAGAAAGGCTTTCAATAATAGAAAAACGGATTCTACGTACGCATTTCACCTTCTAATCATTCTTTTTTATGACGAATTTCAAATCCTTCACATCCAAAATAAAGGACTTTAGCTCTCCTTATTAGAATATATGAATATTACCAAATTAAAAAATACAGAAATAATTCTGAATGACCAACTTGAGACAAACAGTTCTTTCCTCCTCAACGTATTCAGTTAAAGACTATAAAGTGTAAACACATACTAAACATAGATCACTTAAGAAAGACACTCTGCTGAAAAAGCTGTAGTGATAAGATATAATAAATTTTGTGGAAGTGTTGAAAACAAAAGTTTTCAGTGTTTTATTGTTAAATATTAATATAAATTGACCGGCCAGAAGGTTAATATCATGTTTTTCTCACTGTTAAAATGCGATTTTTTTATTTTAGTATTTTTTTGTGTATTTTACTCAGTTTATAAAAAAACTAGTTGATGTTAATATAATAATTTTATTTTGTTGTCTTTTTACGTGGATAAAAATGTATATCGTTTATACACAATTACTTATTATGTAGACATAATTAAAAATTTCATTATATTTCTCTCGTTAAATTGACCCGTAGTTTATCAAATTCAAAACATAAACAAAGAATTAATAAAACTAGAAGAATTTTTTATTTTAGGTACAAATTTTAGTATGCAGGCAAGAGAAAAAGCCTTAACATCATCGGAAGGACTTTTGGGTAGATGCCATTTGTATCTAGGTATTGGTTACCACTTACAAGCCGAAGCCTGTCAGTTGCGAAAAGAAAAGGATCATTTGAGGCATAATGCACTTAATAATTTTAGAAGGTATATCAGCCACTATTATTAGTAAATTAATTTAATTAGCTTCTTTTATGTTACCTCTAATGGGATTTTTATCAAAGTCGTCTACTGTTTCTGCTTTGTGAGACATCAAAAACAAGTGGGCAGCCAATGATATATTGACCAATCTGGCATGTTTATTTAGGGAGGAACCATTGAGAACGTATTAGCCTTTATACATATACGTGTCGGCTTCGAAGATTATACAGGAAGCGACCTGGCTTGCTACACCACACTTTTAAATGCGCCAAGGAAAAAATGAAATATTTCCTCCAGTCAAAGGAAAAATTGTAGCAAAAAGATACTTGAAGAAGCAATGGCAACAAGCTAGGACCACAGAAAATAAGAAAAAAATTAACAAAGCTACCAAAGAATTGAAAGAACTAATCATAGCAGAACACAATCAGGAAATCCAATGTTACCTTGAAAGCCTTAAATCTACAGAGGCCTCAGATTATTCGCTGTAGAAAGAAGCAAAAAAATTTAAAAGATTACTTGCCTAATCCACCAATCAGAAATGATAACATCTTGGCCAGAAATGATAAAATCTGAAACTTTTGGCAAATATCTGAAAAAAGTCTTCATGTCCTTTCCTTCAGAATTATTTGCTGAATAAGAACACGATATTACCGACTATCTGCCTCATAACAAGTTCACTATTAGAGAAGTCAAACAAACAATTATGTAAGAAATTAACATAAAAAAGCTCCTGGTTTCGATTTGGTATCTGGAAAAATTCTCCAAGAACTATCCGAAAATTGTTATAAACTTATTACCATATTTAACTCTATACTACGTCTAAAGTATTTCCCTAGCATCTGGAAAGTTGCCAGATCGTTATGATACCCAAACCGTTGTTACTGAGTATCTTGACTATTTTCAAATCACGCTATTTGTTTGGTCTGCTCGTAGTCCAAATTTAAATCTCATCTCAATGGCAACACAATGTCGTATAGAGATTTGTAGATAACTTCGTAATTCTTGGTCTGTGCTGATTGCATTATCTACTACAAAGCGGCAGACACCTTATTCATCTTTAAAGATTATTTTAGGCCGCTCTTAAATTTTTTTTTTGAATTTAAAGTGACGTTGCTGACAACTATTTCGTACTTTGAGTATAAACCAAATAAAACCAAGTATAAATGGCCACGACAGACTTTATTTACAAAGGTGGAGAACAAGATATGAAATTAAAAAATTAAGAAACAGATATAGTCCAGGCTGTGAGGCCGCTCCCGTTGGGAAAATGTTTCTGATTCGGTTTCTTCGCGGATTCCGGTTCAAAAATGTCCCCTTTAAACAAATCTGAAGGGTGCCGGGCGAGATTTTTGGGCAGAAATTGTTTAAACAGTCTCTTGTCATTTTTCTCTAAAGTTGATAGTTTTCGAGTTATAAGCGATTTAAAGTCTGAAAAACGCGAAAATAGCATTTTTGAGGCTTGAAAACACATATGTAAATTATTATTTTTGAGGTTACCAAGTGTCTAAATTAAAGTTTAAACATTCAACTTCAAGATTGTGAAGAGTAATCGGGGCTTATTTTAATTTAGACCGTTGTTTTTTAATTGTTAAGTATGCGCGTACACTCGATTTTTCAGCCGCGCGCGCGCGCTACCGTGCGCCTCTATCGTACTTATGCATAGTTTACATATACTTACAAATAATTATTATTTATTGAGTATATATTTATTTATATCAATTGAGTTATAATATAAATTTCGTCTAAAGTCTAATAATAGTTACATAAAATAATTGTACAAAAGATTGTTAAATAACACACTAATATCACTCAGTAAAAGTATCTTTGTTTTCACAAAAATCTAAATCACATCCACATAATGGTACACAGTTGACATGATTTTTCTTGCAGTTGCAAGCATTAGTTTTGCAAGTCTTTTTGCATTTGCACGGTTTCCCAACCCACCACTATCAGACATATAATATCCATATTGTGTAAAATCGAGAGTTTGATAGCGGGAATATATGGCATTTCGCCAAATATATGTTTTAGCGAAAGCTCTTAACAAGTGTTGGTAAAGTGCGTCAGAGGTACAAGGTATATTGGCTAGATTAAATTAAATTTTTCAGTCACACTGTCTTTTCGTCGAAGAGCAGCATTTTGTATTGTTATGTAAAAATCTACTTTAGGTTTTTGCACTAACTTAATATTGTTGATGTTATTACAAAAAATACAAACTAAATTTTCTTCGGTAAGTTTTCATTTAAGAAGAGGTACGGAAAAAGACATTTTAAATCCATTCACAATTTTTTTAATAACACATTAATAATATAATACCCTTTTAATGGGCATTAAACAATAGTCTTCCTAATGATCGTTTAAGTAATAACAAATCAAGTATGAGCGCGCGATTGTTAAACAGGTAAAAACTTGCATTTTTGCGATAGTATATTGTTTTTAAACACCGCGCAATTTAAAATTAAGTTTACTAATATTAATATTTACTGCATTGTATTATTTAAATAATAATTTAAAAATATTATTTACAATTGATATAAATAAATATATACTCAATAAATAATAATTATATTGTTCAAATTTGGAAGAAAAAAAAACTATATACGGTTATTACATTGCGATGATTGATTTATTTAATTAGCCCAATGACAATAATTAATACCTACATAAATAAATTATGGAAAAAACTATGTTAATAAACTTCAAGGATTTGTTCGGGTTTTTTTGCGTAAGTGTATATGTAAACTATGCATAAGTACGATAGAAGCGCACTCTAGCGCGCCGCGCCGCGGCGGCTGAAAAATCGAGTGTACGCGCATATTTAACAATTAAAAAACAACGGTCTAAATTAAAATAAGCCCCGATTACTCTTCACAATCTTGAAGTTGAATGTTTAAACTTCAATTTAGACACTTGGTAACCTCAAAAATAATAATTTACATATGTGTTTTCAAGCCTCAAAAATGCGTATTTTCGCGTTTTTCAGACTTTAAATCGCTTATAACTCGAAAACTATCAACTTTAGAGAAAAATGACAAGAGACCTTTTTTATTTAAAATGACCCAAAAAACCTAAAAAAAACGTTTTCCAGATTAAAAAAAATATTTTTGGAATTTGTTTAAAAAAAATTGTTTAAAACAATTTCTGCCCAAAAATTTCGCCCGGCACCCTTCAGATTTGTTTAAAGGGGACATTTTTGAACCGGAATCGCGAAGAAACCGAATCAGAAACATTTTCCCAACGGGAGCGGCCTCACAGCCTGGACTAATAGATACTGGTTGGGAACCTTAAGTCGCCGAATATTTTAACTAACATCTTCAAGTACCATCCCGGCGGAGGTCGGCAATCATCATAGGCTATTCGGACTTTTGAGACGGCTGCTCTGAAAAGTTTATTCGATGTACTTCCGTAACACTGGCTCAGCTTGCGCAGCCATGACATTCTACGTCTCCCCATGCTTCTCTTTCCTTGAAACTTTCCCTGCATAATAAAGTGCAAAAAACAATAGCACCAAAAAAACTCTTAGCACTCTTTTCATTTTATTAAAATTTGCTCTAGCCTTACTAACATAGTAGTTCACAAAATGTTTATTTCTAATGATCTCAATATCCTATATTTTTAATCTTTTTTTATGTGTAAAATGGAAAAGTATATATGTACTAAGTAATATGTTAAAATGTTTTTAGTGCTGTAGAATTAGAACCAAACGACCATTTGTCCAGATATTATCTCGGACTACAGTTAGCTATACTCGGAAACATTCCAGAAGCTCAACAACACGTATGTGTTGGTTTGGATCTTCATCCTGAACATTCTACCTCTTTGCATCTTCTTGTTCTGCTGTTAACGGCCCAGAGACAGCATAGTAGTGCTCTTCTGGTGGTTGAAAATGCCTTGGAAGAGTATCCAGATAGCCTCAATCTCATGTATGTGAAGGCATATCTAGATTTACATGAGTTCGGAGGAGAGGTAAAAATTTTTATCACATATTAAAATAATGATGCGCTTTACTGTGTAAATAGCTTAAAAATGAAAAAAAAATATTCGTTAACTATGATCTATATTAAATAACTTCGTATTTTTAGAAAGCCTTAGTAACAGCCAAACAGATGTTAGAACTTTGGAAAAATCTCTATGAAGGCCAAACAATTTCAGATATACCAGAATGTGATAGAAAAAGTGACACGAGATCAGTCTTCCAACTATACAGTTCAGAAATGTCAGATAAAGACTCAAGTAAGTATTAACATTATTCAAATAAAAGAGATGCGTACGATATATGAGCAGCATACATGCAAAAACCGATAAATCCATCCGTTTTTTGCATTTTTAGGGGTTTATATAAATTTGGTAGCCTCTCTGTTTCTAGAATATAAAATTCCAACAAAAACCAATATTTTTCCTTTAAAATAATGTACTAAGTTGACTAGATCCGTCAAATACCTATAAATCCAAATTGATACATCTTTAAATAATTAATTCGCCATCTATGATATCGTGCGTATTTATTGCAGATTTCTTTATGCTGTTTCTGGCTTATAGTAGTCGCATAAACAATGAAGTATACTTCTTTGCTTATGGTAGTAGTTTGTAAATCAAAAACGAGAGGATTCTGGACCTTAATCACGTGGTTGTCGGAATTAAGGAGAAAATGATTTACTGGTTATGTTATATTGTTTATGAACATATACAATGGCGCAGTCACTACTTAATAAAAGTAGCTTGTGTCAGCGGCCCAATATTTATTAAAACAAAAATTTCATACTGAAATTAAATTACTGTGTCTTCTAAAATAGCATTAGCTATTTTTTGGGTTTCAAATAGATACTTAAATAATAATAATATTTAATTCTTTTATGCTTGATTTTGAAGTCACAGCTAAAATGATGCAGATAAGATTTTGATTTAAGATAACTTATCAATTTGGAATTTGCGAAGTAGGCGTTGTATTCAATTTCATATTGCCGTTAGTTTTATGTTTATTTTTACATTTCAAAGAATGTAATCGACAAATATAAAATTATTTGAGAATGGGTCGCCGAACTACGATTTCTGAAAGAAATTTAATTATTACTCACCATAGACATTGATATATAGCCAAAGATACATATCCGAAATAGTAAAGGTTGGCTCCAAAAAGATTTTTATCGAAGGTGAGGAAAGATGGATTATCAGAGAAATGGCAAATATTCCTAAAAAAGTACACCAAAATTGCGAGGTGAGGTGAAATGACAGTTTGGAAAACAATGTAAACCCGAAACCATTAGACGGATATTATGAAAGGATAACCTACATGCTCAAACTGCCAGAAATAAAACTTTTATTATCCAAAGAAATAGGCGGAATAGGAAATTAGATTAGTCTTCGCTAGGGAGCATATTAACAAAGATTTGAACTAATTACTATTTAAAGGGAATAAAACACAATTAAGGTTTAAAGTACGTTTATTGACGTTTCAATTTACACTTCGGAAATCGTTCTCAAAAATACGAACATTAGTAAATTAAACAAATTTTGTTATTTTTTGTTACTTATTGAAAATTCTTCTAATAATTTAATTTTATCCGACTCATCTACATTGACAATTAGACATACATTATACATTTTAAAGTAGACGACTTTATATTGCCAATATTGTTGAGTTGCGCTCCTGATGTTAACAGATGTTAACAAATGTTTCTCCTCCAAGAACCATTTTCGTTAGAACAAGTAATTTTTGGCTCTATCGTATAAGGTTTTAATGATTACCTTTTTAATATTAATATTGTGATTTGACTTGAAATTTAAATATCTGTTGGTGTGTGTTGGTTTTCTATACACCTGAGTCTCATATCCAGTATCGTTCTTGAGATAAAACATCCAGGAAAGGTAGTGTATATATTCCTTTTCCATGGTAAATGTTATTGTCTCTTCTGTATCGTTTATATCATTTAGGAATGTGTCCAACAACTCTGATCCATGAGGCCATATTGAGAATACATCATCTACATATCTCCACCATACTGTGGGTTTTAAATTTTGTTTAGAAATGATATTTGTTTCAAAATCTTCCATAAATATATCGGCTAATAATGGAGATAAACTAGAGCCCATTGCTAGACCAAAATTTTGTTTATAAAATTCATTATTTAGTTGAAAATATGTATTATCAGTACATAATGTTAATAACTCCATTATAGCTGATATGTTTAGTCTTGTTCTAGTTGCCAATGTATCATCACTCTCTAATTTTGTCTTGACTATATTTAAAGTCTTATCTAATCGCACATTCGTAAATAAACTATTTATGTTTACTACTGTCTTAATAAGCTACTACCAATTCGTATAAATACATGATTTCATGGCCTTCTGAAATTATGATTTTTTCGATGGCTCTATATTATAAACTAATAATATTTACATTTTAGGTTCCTTACATCTGCACAATCTGGCAGCCACAAGAGTAGAGCAAGCTCTTAGTGAGGTCGCTAGTTCCATGAGCAGTTTTAACCCTAGACCTGGTCCTCAGCGAGCATGGATGCTGCAGGTCGAAATCTGGCTGCTTTTAGCTGAACTGTACCTTGCTCTAGACCAGCCTGCTGACATTCAAATGTGCGTTCAAGAAGCCATGCAGATATATCCATTGAGTCACCATACAATGCATATGGTAAGAAAGATTTTAACAAAAGCTCTAAGTATTTCTGCCTCTATGTAAAACACGAATGCATAAACATTCCAAGACAATTCCAACAAGTATTTTGAACATGGGGAAATTTTCTTCTTGTGAACTTTTCTAAACTTTTTTTTCTAACCACCCAAAAAACCAGAAATATAGTACAGTTCTTGCTATGAAAAATAGAATATTCAATATATGTGACGACCAGTTTCTTAGTAATAGTCAGAGTCTAAGTAATTCTTCCCCCGTGTTAGTAAGTATAGTCCCATCTATGCTAACTTTTACCTAAATTATCCTTCCTCGCACCCTTTATATAAATAGTTTTTATTTTGGTTATCTAGTTTGGTCGTATGACAACCTTTTATAATGATAATGATATACACATCATCTAATTTATATACCGATGCACATGTACCTTGCCATTATGGGAGAATACTTTCGCAAATGGAGGCTACGGCCTAATGCAACGAAAACCGAAGTGTGCTGTTTCCATCTGAATAATGCCCAAGCCAACAAAAAACTCTCCATCCACTTCGAAAACAGAGTGCTCACTCATAACTCAACACCAAAATATCTTGGAGTGACTCTGGACAGAACATTGAGTTTTAAAGAACATCTTCAAAGAACGACAGCAAAGCTGAAAACGAGAAATAATATAGTCCAAAAGCTATGTGGCACTACATGGGGGTCTTCAGCCTCCGTACTCAGATCATCCGCTCTCGGACTTGTATACTCGGTGGCTGAATATGCTTCCCCGGTATGGCTCAATAGCAAACACACAAAGATTATTGACACTCAATTAAACCAGACAATGCGAATGATCTCAGGTACAATTAGACCCACACCGAACTATTGGCTTCCCATTCTGAGTCACATTCCACCGCCGAAACTGCGAAGAAGTCATTTTCTTCTCAGAGAATATCGAAAAATTGAGGCTAACCATCAACTACCTATACACCAAGATAAGCTTGATATCGAAATAAACAGACTGCGCTCCAGATATCCTCCATTGCTAAGAGCCAACTCCTTACATCAGGAACATTTCAACCTGACCAAAGCTTGGAGAACACAATGGGAGAGCGACTCACCACAGGAAGCACATCAAATGGCCTGTATCGATCAGAAACCGCCAGGCTTTGAACTGACCCGCAATACATGGACAACGCTAAATAGAATAAGAACAAGCAGCGGTAGATGTGCTGACAGCTTATATAGATGGGGAAAAGCCCTTACTCCTGAGTGTGACTGTGGTGCGCAACGACAGACCGTCCGTCACATTGTTGAAGAATGTCCCCGAAGGCGATTCCGTGGAGTTTTCGATGAGTTCCTGAATGCGACCGAAAATGTTTTACATTATATTAATAATACATTAGATGTTCGTTTGTAATACTTCATGTAACGTTTTTATATTGTTTTTTTTTAATTGTGTGTTCTTATTGTATGCCATACGTTAAAATAAAAAAAAAACACCGATGCACGTCATCGGCGTCATAGCCTGTGACGTCATGTGATACCAACACGAAATATTTAGGGTTTAGGGTGTCTTCTTTTTAGAATCACTTTACCGAGTACACTGGCATTACAGCCACTAGACATATATTTATTATATACGCGTAGAAATAATATTTAAAAATTTCTATTAATGTTAACTTAAAGAAATACACAATAATATGTTTCATTTAATTTGTATAAATCCATTATAAAGAGTTTTTATCAAGAACATTTGTTCGGAACACACTGTAACTGTAATCGAACGAAGGTAAAATTTTGGCATAAATTGGTAACACTTATTTGACAGTTGCGGTGTTGACACTTTTTGTACTTTATTATTTTGAATTTTGAAGTGAATACCTCTTGTTTTTTATTTTTACCTATTTAATAAAATCTGTTGTTTTTAGAACAAAATTAGTGTGTTTTATTTTAAAAATGTCACGTAAGAATTTAAATAGTCGTTGTAAAGAGATGGTAATACTTTTGCAATAATTATGTGACCTATTTGATTTAAAATGGAGTCAGGATTTTTTTATACTTTGGCAACTATGTCAACTTCGATCTCTGACGTAGATAATGACGTAAGTCGTTATCTAAATTAGATGAAGTATACGCGATAACGCGACCAGTGGTACGTTTTAGCTGCCAATTTTTTATAGATTTGCAGAATATTTGCACATATTAATTATTAAACTCTCTTTGTTTTTTTTTTGTAGAAAGGGCTTCTTCACATGCATAAACAAGAGTGGGCTGATGCCAAAATGTGCTTCCAAAATGCTGTCGCTATTAATCCACTTCATGTTCAGTCGTTGCAACAATTAGGTTTAGTTTATCATTATTTAGACCTTCAAGGATTAGCTGAAACTACCTTGCGGGAGGCTGCTAAGATCGAACCCAAAAATCATGTTACATGGTAAGATCTTTTTATTTTATTTATGTAAATTGTTAGCAGTTAAAAAAATATTAACTTCTTGTGGAAGAGCTGCCATACATTACACGAAATTTTATATCAAACTCTGGGATATACAACTAGCAATATCCAGTGCATGTCTAAAGTTTCCTCGACCATCAACATGTTTTATGGACCATAAAAATCAGTTTAATAAATTTTTGTTCTTAGTTTTGATATAATTTAGTGGGTAATCATTAAAAATGACGGAAGATAATTTTAAATTGGATCGATATGGACAAGTATTATATTTATTATTTGAAAGTTTTTAAATTTCTTCTTGTTCTTCTCAATTATCAGTTTCAAAAGGTTCTAAAATTGTTTTCATGTCACATGTCAAGTTAATTATTATGTTTATCTAGGATTAAGCCACAGTTCTTTGTAATGAAAATTACATTTTATAGTAATTGTTATTTGACGTTTCGATTTTCACTTTGGACATCGTTTTCAAAAAAGATGATTTTAAAATAGTGAGCTGTTATTATAACCATAATTATAAACACGGCTAATCATTATTATAAATAAGTTTTTTGGCGGTTATTGTCCTCCAAATTGACTTACTTAACCTCGATCTTGTGGGCATATAGCCATGCTTTTAGTTAATAATTCTGAGGGTGATGTTTGCACAGTCTGGCCGATATCAAATTCTGATTATTTTGTATTTATGTATTCATGTGTTGTATATGGATTATGTACAATTGTATATAATGTGCATCTGTCTTTCTATTAATCCGCTGTTGGTATGTTCTTGTTGCTGACTTCTTCTTTTAATATTGTCAACCAAAGCTTGCTACAATCAGCTGATGGGTTTGTTGTCACAGTCCCTGTTTTTTATGTATGTTTCATGCTCATTTATCCTGAGACCTAGAGGTCTTGCGGTTTATCCCCTATAAAAATTGTTGCATTCAAAAGGTACTTTAGAGATGCAGTTCTTTGATCTTTCTTGTATGTTGTTAGTATTGTAGAACCTTCAAAAAAGTATCAACGCAAAACCAAAAAAAGAAAAAAGATTGGATGACGAACGAAATACTAGAATTAATGAACAAAAAGAGAATATATAAGGACAAAAATAAATCATTGTACCTTACTTACTCCGTGGCGTTACAACCCTTCGTCAGTTTTAGCGACTCGACAACATGCCTCCATGTTCTCTGTCTTGGAGGCAACCTCCATCCAATTCTCCACGCCCATAGTGCTTAGGTCTCCTGCTATATTATCTCGCCACCGGAGACGAGGGCGTCCGCGTGGTCTCCTTCCAGTTGGGACTTCCTCCCACACCAGTCTTACTGTTCGTTCGTCAGAATGTCTTCTGAGGTGTCCTGCCCATTGGAGTCTTCTGGGCTTTATTTCTTTTATGATGTTGGCGTCTGGGTAAAGTTCTTCAAGCTCTTTATTAGTTCTTATCCTATATTGTCCTGATGCTTCATCAAGCACCGGACCAAAGATCTTCCTTAGGATTTTTTCTTTCCCAAACACGTAGTCTCTTTTCATTTGCCTTTGTTATCGTCCACGTTTCGCTTCCATACATCACAACGGGTCGTATGATTGTTTTATAGACCTGTATCTTCGTACGTCGTGTTCGTTGTTTTGATTTTATAAGGTTTTGGAGGGCAAAAATACATCTGTTGCCGGCCTGAATCCTGTTGTTTATTTCTTGTGATCCGTTATTGTCTTCAGTTATTGTTGTTCCAAGATACTTGAATTCTCTAACGCGCTCAAAGTTAAAGTCATCGATGGTAATGTTCTGACCGATTCTGTCTCTGCTTTGGTTATTGCGGCTCATATACATATATTTCGTCTTGTTTTCGTTGATTTGGAGCCCCATCTTCTCTGCTTCCTTCTCAAACCTTACGAAAGTCTCCTTCATCCTTAATCGCGTGTTTCCTATTAGATCTATATCGTCTGCAATCATTGTATCAGCAAACACAAAACGAAATACGTCGACAAATTCGAATAGCAAAAGCAAATTGGTTATAAAGAAAAAATGTGATGAAATAGAAATGCTACAAAATACACATGTCAGCTTTAATTTACACTACAAACTAGAAGACCGAATACAAACAAAATATACTAGTTGATGGAAAGGGAGACACAGTAATGGATACAGAAAACAAATTGATGGTATGGGCAAACTATATAGAACAGCTGTTTAATGACAAATGAGACAAAATAGATAACGAATATTTCGTTGAAGAGACTGGACCAGAAATAACGAAAAGTGAAGTTAAACACAGAACTAGGAAAGCAGTAGGACCAGACGAAATACCGACAGAAATATTGCAACTTATCGCCGACTGCAATATACATATTCTTAGTATTGTTCTGGAGCTATTTTCTTGTGGCATTTTAAAATAATTACTATTTAAATGGGAATAAGCCTTAATTAAAGGTTAAAATACGTTTATTGACGTTTCAATTTCCGTTGAAACGATTTCCAAAGTGGAAATTGAAACGTCAATAAACGTATTTCAACCTTTAATTGTGGCTTATTCCCATTTAAATAGTTAATACATGTTCTTGTCGAATAATTTAATAAAATATACAGAACAGGTATATTACCTAAAGAATGGCTTCTATCAACATTCGTGACTATACCGAAAAAGAAAAACGCCAGACAATGTTGCGATCACCGTACCATCAGTCTAATGTGCCACATACTAAAAGTATTCCTAAAGACGTATAAATAACGTAGAATATATAAAAAGTTAAAACAAGACATTGGACAAACTCAGTTTGAATTTAGAAATGCTCAGGGAACCAAAGAAACATTATATGTAAACCAGGACATGTCTGCTTCCTAGATTAAAACAAGGCATTCGATACAGCGAAACATAATCCGTTAATAAAACTACTGAGAACAAAGAACCGACACACGGGATATAATAGTAATGAATAATCTGTATTATGAACAAGAAGCTGTCATAAGAATAAATAATTTAAAAACTAATAAAATAAACAAAAGGTGTTACACACACAGGGCTGTGTTTTATCGCCATCACAACGCCTACTCAGAGGAAATATTCAAAAAAGTATTAGAAAATAAAGTAGCAGGCATAAAAATTAGTGGTCTACCCATACGTGAAATTAGACATGCTGATGCATGAATCATCAGAAATAGATATTCCAGATGTACCGGGTGGTCCAATAAGCCGATCTCTCGGCTATATATCAGAAACTATTCATGTTATAACTTTAGGAGAAAAAATTCCTTAATAAAAGTGGCCAAGAGAAATCGCTGGAAATAACTTTCAAGATTCTGGATTAACCGCTAGGGGGCGTAACCTGCGAAGAAAATTTTGAAAACCAGTTTTTTGGGAAATATGTCCAATTATACCAAGTGCTAAATAAGTAAACTAGAAAGAGGCATAAATTCTGCACAAAGTTGTTCAAGTACTTTTTTTTATTTTTTCAAATAAAGGGTGGGGAAGAGTGGGAAAGTATTTGTGGATAAATACATATAACTTTGGTTTGGATCAACCGATTTTAACAAAATTAGTGTCATTAGAAAGAGTATGGATGAATTAATTTATATCTACTATAAAATAATTGCATTTAGTTTTAATTGTCGTAGGTAGAGGGTACTTTCGAATAGAAAAAATTAAAATTTGTTTTTCTTCTAAATTTTTAATGGAAACACCTATTTATTGTAAATTATAATGGAACTGGATTAAATTCGTAACAAAATGGCGCAAACCGCATGTTAATAGCTTTTATCGAACTCGAGATATGAATAAAAACGCATAAACATAAAGTAAAGTATAGTATTGACACACCCTGTATTATAAAATAAATTAAAAAATAAGTCAGTAGGTACTTTCAAAATTTTTTATAGCAGAAAACTCTTAATGTTGATACCTATTTTGACCATTGTTATTTCATATGATTAAAAATTGTTTTTTCGAAACTAAGTAGGCTACGACAATGAATTTGACAGGGAGTTCATATTGTTTATTTATTGACAGCAGTCAAAATATTGTTAAGAAGTGTTATATGTATTATAATTCGAATTGAAAATTGCATTTTTTTCAATAGATATTAATATTGGTAATATTAGTAATTAATTATCAGTACTAATAATTCGTGATGAGTATATCAAATTGTATGATATGATTGGAGTTTATTTCGAATATCACCAAAATGGCGCTATTGCCTCACGTATATATTCTGTAAGATATCCTGGCAGGAGATATTGGCAAAGAAGTAGAGATTTCGGACTACTTATATGTGGATTCTGTTGAATTAAAGCAAGAACATTGATTGAATTATCTTCGGTCATAACTCTACTACGTCGTTTAAAACAAGGACGAGAAAAACTACCAGTTTCTCTTAATCTTTTTGTCTTTCTTTCAAATACTTCTTTGCCATAATGTCTCCTGTCACTATATCCTACAAAATATATACGTGAGGCAATAGCGGCATTTTGGTGACATTCGAAATAAACTCCAATCATATCATACAATTTGATATACTCATCACGAATTATTTGTACTGATAATTAATTACTAATATTACCAATATTAATATCTATTGAAAAAAGTGCAATTTTAATTCGAATTATATAATATAGCACTTCTTAACAATGTTTTGACTGCTGTCAATAAATAAACAATATGAACTCCCCGTCAAATTCATTGTCGTAGCCTACTTAGTTTCGAAAAAACTATTTTTTACAAAATAGGTATCAACATTAAGATTCTTCTGCTATAAAAAAATTTGAAAATACCTACTGACTTATTTTTTAATGTAATTTATAATACAGGGTGTGTCAATACTATACTTACTTATGTTTGAGTTTTTATTCATATCTCGAGTTCAACAAAAGCTATTAACATACGGTTTACTCCATTTTGTTACGAATTCATTCCAGTTCCATTATAATTTACAATAAATAGGTGTTTCCATTAAAAATTTTGAAGAAAAACAAATTTTAATTTTTTTTATTTGAAAGTCCCCTCTACCTACGACTATGAAAACTAAATGCAAGTATTTTATAGTAGATGTGAATTAATTCATCAACACTCTTTCTAATGACACTAATTTCATTAAAATCGGTTGGTCCAAACCAAAGTTATAGGTGTTTATCCACAAATACTTTCCCACTCTCCCCCACCCTTTATTTAAAAAATAAAAAAAAGTACTTGAACAACTTTGTGCAGAATTTATGCCTCTTTCTAGTTTACTTATTTAACACTTGGTATAATTGGACATATTTCCCAAAAAAACTGGTTTTCAAAATTTTCTTCGCAGGTTACGCCCCCTAGCGGTTAATCCAGAATCTTGAAAGTTATTTCCAGCGATTTCTCTTGGCCACTTTTATTAAGGAATTTTTTTCCTAAAGTTATAACATGAATAGTTTCTGATATATAGCCGAGAGATCGGCTTATTGGACCACCCGTTACAAAGAATTTTAGATAAGGTTGTTGCAGCGAGTGGAGAATTTGATCTGTTACTAAACACAAAGAAAACAAAATTCATTAAAAGAAAAATATTAGATTAGAAGACGATAGAACGAGTTCACAATTATAACTATTTACTGGCAAACGTTAATGAAACAAACGATTATTACCAAAGAAATTATAGTTGGAATAGAAAAGACTAGAAGTGCATTTAATAATATGAACCAAATATTATATTGTCGAGACCTCAGCCTAAATCTTGCTAAAGTGTTATGTATTTTCTGTTCTCTTGTATGGTGTGGTGTTATGGACTTTAAATAAACAATGTCACAATAAATTGGAAGCATTTGAAATGTGAACATATCGAAGAATGCTGAGACAGACAGAATCTTCTGGACAGACAGAATAACCAATGAAGAAGTACTACGAAGAATAGAGAACAGCAGGGAGACACTGGATTCCATCAAAATAAGAAAACTATAATATCTGGGTCATATAACACGTGGTGACAGATATGAATTCCTAAAACTAATAATGCAGGGAAAGACTCAAGAAAAGCGCAGCATAGGTAGAAGAAGAATGTCCTTGCTGAGAAACCTCAGAGAATGGTTTGAATGCAGCTCAACTGAACGCTTTCGGGCTGTAGTGTCAAAACTTAGAATAGCAGTGATGATTGCCAACCATCGTCGCGGAGATGGCACGTAAAAAAGAAGAGTATGCTATTGTTTTCAACTTTAAATCTCTTCTTGTTGGTATTTCTGGATTGCTTATGGTATTTTGCTATTTCCTTTCTTCAACCTTGTGAAATTCCTTGTTTATAAATGACAGCAGGTAATAATTTTTTGTTAAAACCTTTGTTAGCAGGTTTTTTTTCCCTGAAATGCATTTTGATTAGATCAGGCGTTTTGGTCTCTATCATATAATGATTTATTAATTCACTTTTTGATGTTTATGTTACTGTTTGAATGGTAATTTAAATGTGTGGGTTGATTTTCTGTAAACTTTCATTGCAAATCCTGTATCTTCTTTTGTGATTAACATCCATAAAAGGCAGTGAGTTGTTCTTTTCTTTTTCCATGGTGAATTTGATTGTTTCTTTTTTACTGTTGATGTCCATCGAAAATTTCTCCAGTGCTTCTAATCCGTGAGGCCAAATGGAGAATACATTATCTACATATCTCTACCATACTGTGGATTGTTGATCATGTTTATACACAATGCTTTATTCTAATTCCTACACGATAATAAATTTGTTTCTGCAGTGGTTTGCTTACCGTTTGTAAACTATGCACTCTGTGCAGACGTGAAATTAGACTGTTTTCTGACTGTTGTCAAAATTTATGCTGCACGAACGATTTGCTGATTATCGAAATTAAATTAATCTAACATAACCTAATATTTTTGGTTAATATCGAGATTCATAATTGTTGTAATCAAACAAATAGATTTCTAATATGGAAGGTAAGTACTACTTATTTTTTTCAAAATAATGAAACACATTTTTCTAAACGGTATTTAAAGGATACATTTGTTTCAGATTTACAAGAGTTTATAATTGTAAACCAAAGCCCATCGACAAGTGTTTTAGTCAGTATATCTTGGACCCACAAACCAGACACTGTCATTAATAGATTTTTATAAAAATACAGAGATAGGGTAGGGAGTTTACAAATGAAATCCATGAAAATTATGTGGGCAAAGGTAGCAGAACAACTAAATAACTTACATAATCTTAATTTGAATGCATGTCACTGCGAAAATAGATGGCGAGTAATTGAAAGAAATTATAAGAAGATGAGAGTAAAAAAACAGGAAGAGGCCGCAAAACATTTGAATATAGTAATGAACTAGATGAGATATTTGGGCAAAAAAGAAATGTCGATCCTGAATTGCTGTTATCTAATGAAACAGTAGCACATCACATAGATGAAAAGCCTGAAGATGTAGCAACATAGAAAACAATATTCTCCAAAAGATGTGTGAAGACAAAAAGGAATTTTATACAGAACTGCTAAAAATTCACAAAGAAAGATTAGAAGTGATCAAAGAAAAAAACCAAACAAAGAAACTGTTTGAAGAAGAAAGACTTTTAGAAATAAGAAAACAAAATAAACTGAGAGAGAAGACGAACGAAATACTTAGCAAATATTTAGTATCAAAAGAAACTTTACCTACTGAAATACTTTAATTTTTAGGAAAGTAAATTTAAGGTTAAGTTTGTAACAGGTTTTTTTTTAATAAAAAATCATCAGTTATATTTTTTATTTTCTACAAATTGAATGTGTAAACAAATAAAAAGAATATACATATATTAACTCTAAAACTTAAAAATATGTTTTAAATACATCATACTTTAAGTAATACATGTTTTACAGTCTACATCGAAGAGTTAATTACTATTAAACAGGGAATAAGCCACAATTAAAGATAACAATACGTTTATTGACGTTTCAATTTCCACTTCGGAAATCGTTCTCAAAATACAAACAGTAAATTAAACAAATTTTGTTTTTTGTTACATAGTGAAAAATTCTTCTAATAATTTAATTTTATCTGACTCATTTATATTGACAATTCAGACATACATTATGCATTTTAAAGTAGACGACTTTAAAATGATATTGCCAATATTGTTGAGTTGCGCTCCTGGGACGACTTTACTTATAAGATAGTTCATTCGATTACATGAAATCAACTTTAACTTGAGAATATCCGTCAGAAAAAAATAATAGCATGTAATTCGTCTTTAAAAAGACAAACACATGACATGATGACAGTAAAATTCTCCTGTTAGTGATTCCATAGTAAATTATGAGGGAAAAAACCAGGAAAAAAAAACCTCATAATACTATCCCGACATTGTAAGTATTTGTTCGTGAATTTAGTTTACCTTCAACAAACATCAAAATTCTGATTTTATATGTTACGTTATTTAAAAAACATAAATGATGTATCCTCTATATGTTACTGACTTACTAATACTGGTATTTTCCTTTAATAACTTCCTCTTTCAATATTGGTAACCAGATCCTACTACTTGCACGAACACAATTATTTTACTGCGCAAACTCGAGCGTTGTAAAACCGTTTCCAACTACTGCAGAAACAAACCTAATATCTGCTAATAATTGAGATAAAGATGAACCCATGGCTAATCCATGAAATTTCAACTTTAAAACCTTTTTCTCGTATTGTTTTATTAATACGTTTTCCCTTTTATTTTAGGTACAACTTGGGCAAAGTCCTTGAAGCTCTTGGAGAATATGAAAATGCCAGTAATGCAATGGCGACAGCTCTTCTTGAAGAACAAAATAGTCCTATTCTTCCTTTTAATTCGGTCCCAATAACTTTTGAATAGAATAGTTAGGTAATTTGTAAAAAACGATAAGGTCCTATTCAATGTGTTTATAATTAACGGGTACTTAGCTAATCTTCAAGTTCATCCAATAATAGTATTTTACCATTTATATATAGTATTTTGGATAGTAATTAATAGGTACTGGTAACTTTTATGAATTTAATATACCGTTAAAGTTAATTAACTATGGAAATACTGAGAGATGAAAAAAGTCTTGATTGTACGAATATATAAACAAGAAAATTTCTCGAAACAAGAACTAACCAGAATAATCACTATTAGACTTCAAGAAAATCTAAAGATAATACATGGACTTGGTGCAAAATAAAAAAACTTGGAGAGCTGGAAAATAATGCTCCATGAGTAAAAAATCGCAAATAATTACACCAAACATAAACTAAATATACAAAAATCTCAATACACAGCTTCAAATTTTCTCTTTATAAAAATGCAGTTAAGGGAAATATGTCACAATTATTAGCAATGTAGTACATCAAACCATACTGCTGCATTAGAGAAGATTAGAAGAACAGCTTCTATGAAGAGCAGATTGTACAAATGTTGAGAGAATTACATCCAGAAAAACTGACTGTTTGGTTTGCTTTGTGGGCTGGTGGAATCATTGGTCAGTACTTCTTCAAAAACGATACTAGCCAGAACGCTACAGTCAATGGTGACCGATATAGGTAAAAGAAAAACATGTGAATACTTTCTTATTGAGGAAATCGTATCGTAAAATTAAGAATATCAATGTTATTTTGTGTCAAAAGTTTAAATGATTTTTTCCTGTTAAAATTTGTAGATACCAAAAGTACTCTTTCTCGAAAAACCTGTTGTATCATACTAATGTTGAATAACTATAATACTAGGGGAACTTAGAAGGTATTATATTTGATGTAAATCGAAATGTATATTTTCGACATAATATTCGTTTTTATTTAAGAATCATTACAACCATACTCATGGTTGATTTTCATCTTCAATCAAATAAAAAAAAATCTAAAAATCATCAAGATTTTACAAAAAGGGTGTACATATATGGGAAATTATGAGTATAATTTCAGTGTATGTGGACTGTATTATATAGGGCTGGTTCAAATAAATTAGGATATGTAGTAAAGGGTATACAGACAATAGCAAATTAAGTTTATACAAAGTCTTACCAATATTTTTTCTGCTCCACACAATCGCGGTTTTTCTTCTTATGCGGAATCTGTCCGAGCACCGGTTTCTAAACACGTGTTTCGCGGTACTTACACTGATATCATGAGATAGAACACACTTTGCGGCTGTACACGATTTTAAATAGTATATGCAGTATTTTTCGCGTAACTAAAGCGGGAAATAGATAATTAGTTAGCGGCAGTTCAACAGTCTAAAGCGTCTCTTTAGCGATAGAAAACAGCCAGGAGAGATGCTGTTCTTCTTGATGAGCGAAGAGAGAGAGAGAGAGAGAGAGAGAGAGAGAGAGGAGAGAGAGAGAGAGAGTGGACTGTCCTCAACGACAAGAGAGATACCTGTACCAAGCGATAGGTAACAGGGAAGAGAGAACGACTGTCCCTAGCGGCAGCCGACAATCAAGAGCGAGTCTTTCTTCTTTGCTATCTTAAAACTGTCTGTATTTGTAATGGAGTGGTATTAAAATGAGAGTAGGAAGGGTTATCAAGGGTTGGACTAAGATAATTATTGTAAAATTGTGATAGAAGGATAGTTAATAATACAGCGAAATAAGCAAATACAGCTTTTTGACAGCCTTGATAACGTTGAATTCGGTAACATCTTAGTAAAATAAATAATTTCATTGTGGACAATGAAATTTATTCAGCTTTAATCTTTGTTTTCTTTGCTGAGACGGGATCCTCACTTTTAGTCTCTGAGAGGTACGCTAGCAAATTGGGATTTAGGAAATTCAGCGTTTTTCTCAATAAATTCCTTTCTTATCTTTATCAGCACATATTAATACAAAAGTATGTATCCATGCGTATAGATCTTTGATATTAAGAAGCAGATCTGCACTAGAGCAGTTTTGTAACTTCTACCACGGCAATATTTTGGGGTGAAAGTTGTAGGTTTGATTTTTTTTCCAATAATTTCATCAGGAGTGCTTCATTTAAATGCAGCCCGCTTATAATAGTAGCCAGTGTCACATCACTTCTCCCTAGAAGTTACTGGAGTCATGGTATGAGTATCTTTCTAGTCGACACCCCACTACCTCATGTTCCGGATATGCATTATCCGGAGACGTTAAGTGTCTAGTTGTATTCGGAGATTATTGCCGAACACAAACAACATAATTGAATCGTTTATTTCAGAACAACCTAAGTCACATTCGGACAGTTTGCAGGAGATAAAACAAACGTTTTGAGAGTTTATCTGAACATTTTCACTACAAGTGAAGTTTGAAGTTAATAGATTACACCTAATGTTAGAATTTATCAAAAACAAAAGCTTTCTAAATCGTTACTAAACTCTTTAAATAAACATTTTTAAAATGGACTTGGTTGTTTCAGTAATGAAATGTCCGGTTTCAAAACAAAAGTATTTATTACTAAACAATTTTAATAATATTTACGTATCTGGTTTGAACGGTTCCTCCACTCATTGAAGCAGTGAGGTCAAATTTTCTTCTTTGGCCTCTAGTATTGAAATTGGGTCTTTATACTCCTTTAGAGTTGGCATTTTAACTGTAACATTGTTTGTTTTTGGAATGGACGCATTGCAGGTACTCCATATCGCATCATTAATGTATTAACTTCCGGGAGCATTAATGCAGCGGACAAAATGATGTAATTTGGAAATTCAGAACGAAATTCGTTGGTCCCTTATTAACTTCTGTGTCTGGGTCGACGCACATGCAGACTTATAATACGTAGGCCACCATTAAAATTTATAATACGTTCCCTTTTAATTTCACAGACCGTGAATAGGTTTTGGGCACTTGCGGTAACAGTGATCTCCGTGTACTTATGGATGTCATAAACTCCAAGGCAAGGAATTGCAGGAAGTTAAAGGTTCTGCATAAAATCGAAGGCGATTGCTTGTACATCATCTCTTTGAATGCATTCCTCAAATTGATCATGTAGGGCAGTATAAACATTTTTTACTTCGCCGGCAATGTACGAGTTTTTCGGCAACCGCTACTTTTTTGCTGCTCAACCAAGACTAGGGCTTTTAATTTTTAAATTAAGCTCCTCACAGACATTGCATGTGTCAATTTGTGGCATACCAAAATGTAAGTTAAAATTTTCATGAAAAAATTGCAGTAACTGTATTTTACTGTAGTCTCAGGACTTAAGTTGCGCATCGAAGTACTTAAATTCCTTACCAGAGTAATGAGACTCTTTGACAGGAAATATGATTATGTGGCTATGGATAAGATCCCTAGTTCCAGTTCCTTTTATCTGTAGGTATCACACCACATACCACAAGTATTTTAATTATCTTTAGCCTTTCTCTTCCAATGGCGTGAATACTTAAAAAGTCACCTTCGCCTTACCTATTTTTTATTCTGATTAACATTAACAAAGAACTTGTCCTATCTTTACCACCTTCATTACGTTTTCTTCTTCTAAACACCTCCATTGCTTCTATTAATCCTTGTAGATACATAACCTGGTCGTTTTTTGTTGTCATACCGTAAAAGTTACCAAAAATAATGTTCCTTCGATAAAACATTTGAGTAGACACCTAAAGAATGTATTTTAGAAACTCAAAAATATTATATTTTTATTGTCTTACTTGCACTGAGGTTCTATTTGTCTTGCTTCCATGGCCTTATTTTTGTAGCTAATATATGTTTACCCTTCAACTCTAGAGTTTCTGATAACATTACGCTCATATTCATCTAATTTCCTAATTCCCTTACGCCTTTTAGTAGCAGGCATCCATCCCTAGCATTTTCAGCACTGTTGATTTGTTGATCGTTATTCATAATAATCTAAAATATGAACGTTTTTCTTCCAATATACAGACAACTTTTTGTAAGCAGCAATAAGAACAAATAATAGAAACACTATGAATTTTATAGGTTATGGTAAAGTCGATATGTAAAATGACAACTGACAATTTAGTGCAGAAACAACCTTAGTCCGGGACTAAGGTGGTTTCATATGAATATTTTAAATCAAAATAAAATTAACTATGCTTACGGGACTTAACTGTATTATGCATTAAATTGTGTGTAACCGACAGAAATACATGTTTGTACACAAAATGTGAATGTAGATTGTTTCTGAAATAAGCGATTCAATTATTATATTGTATATCGATATTTTTTTCTCACAAAGAATCACTTAGTATAATTTAAATCTCTTAGAATTATTTAATGTTTCTATAAAACGTAAAAATCAAGTTTATTATAACTTTTACAAAAGATTATTCAAGAAAATGGGTATTTAAAAACAATTAGAGAAACTCTAGGATGAAGATACTTTTTTTGGAGTCTTATTTCCGGATTATAAAAATGCAACATTTAACTTCAAATTGTATGGTTGTAGTGCTTCTTAGGTTTTTAAAATTTATTTTAAATCAATATTTACTATATATTGATGTTTCTGGAATATATTAATAAATATACGAATATCAAAACATCTGCAATCATTTATATTATTCATATTTTTACAGAACCAAGGTTTCTTGGGTAGAATTATTTATTAGTGGAAGTATTGATACATATAAAATAGATAAACAGTGAGATATTAGGTCATGTAGTTTTGTTATTTATTACATATTTTAATTATTTTTTGTACTAATTTTAGGAGGTATTTGTTATTGTTAAAATAATTAAACGAATATGTTAATATATTTTTACTTTCATCTTTAAACTTAGTATTATTGACAGCCAAAGCAACCTATGCCTCGATCCAAAAGCAAATGACTTACCTGGAATAAAATTATATAGAGAACGAAACAAGTTAAACTTTAGATACTCGTGGAGGTGCAATATTACTGAAATTTTTCAGTCAATCTTTGGTGGACGTTTTTAAGAACTACTCTTCGTCTGTGATATAAAATACTATAGACTGTATCACATCCAACTCCGACACAAAACTGGCAGCACGTTGATTCTAGCGCCACGGCGGATTGAGTTGATAACTACGTTTTGTCAACGTAAACATACATATTTGCTTTTGCTAATTTTTGCATTACTATTCTTTGACTCAAAGTGACTAGTCTGTACAGGGAAGATATGCAATGCTAACCTTATGGGAATTTCGCCAAGACGTTGCCAGTTTTATGCAGTGAGCGATGGCGTTCTCTATTGTCTATCTTTCAAAATAAACGGAATAAACCAGGAGTTCCCAACAAGTCCTTACGTACAATTTTATATAATTTAAAAATATCGTTTGCTAATAATTTTACATAATATTATACATTATTTGTTTCTAATAGTAACTTATCAACTTTGATCTTTTATTAGTAACAGTAGTATAATAAAATGTGCATTTAATAAATATTTGTTTGAAAGTTTTTCAAATACTTTTTTTAAGTTATTCAGTAATTAAGAAGCAATTAGAGTAATTCTTGTACAGAATATGTTTAAAAGCTTGATACATCCAGGGTCTTAATTAGTCTTTATTTGTTTTTCGGAGCGCGTAAACATATTCGAGTTACGATTATTTGTACCATCTTGGATGTACTGTTACTGTTTTGTTATTGTTATTATTTGTTGGTGGCTGTTGTTGTGATTTGCTGTTGGCAATTATTGTTATTTTCTGTTGTTGGATATTGTTATATTTGTCGCCGAATTTTTACCGCAAATGAAAGAAATTCTTCAATGGAAACGTTGAAAAGCTCTGAAACTTTCAGAAAAGGAAATACTAATGAATATTATTAATTATGTTAACAAACGCAGAGTCAAAGAATACACTAAAATTTCCAGCTCCAACACTTGCTAAAAGGAAAGCAACCGTGACAGACTTGA